GTTATGCAAATCTTCCCACATCGTGACGTAGACATGTGGGGGTGTGATAGAATGAGCCATTTTAGGTAGACGTGGTTGACTCTTAACTTTTATAAAGAATATCTCTTTGGATTTGAGACTTTAGACTTTGCAACTTTACAGATCGTCTTTATGCACCAAGAGCTTGTAACACTCCAAAGAGAAAGGACAAATTTAAATCGCATCATATGACCTCTTTAAAAGATTTACGCCTCAGGCACTTGAAATGTGGTGCTCCTTGGGAGTTTTAACAGATGCAATTACCAAGCACTGCAGGTTTAAGTTTCGTGGTCCGAAAATATAAACGTAAAAGTCACCATGTGCACTAAACAGAATTTATGTAAATGTACTTCCAGCAGTGGCCAGGCTAGACTGGGTCTCGGTATTTTGAATGGGACTTGAATGGAGGTTACCAAGATGAATTTGCTGTATTAACTCAGTGATAAATACTAAAGTGGGTCATTTAGATTGTTTTGTTTTGTTGTCTGCTTAAATTTACATATGTAAAACTTATGTATCAATTTTTGTAATATAGTGAAAATAACAACATACTTTTACTTGGCATTCCTGCATTCTCTTATTTGACAAAAAAGCAAGAGTATATATACACACACACACACACACATATATATATATATATACATATATATATATATATATATATATATATACATACACACACACATTGTAATTACATTCTGATTATATATATATATATTAGAGTGAACAAGAACCTGGATCACAATCTGCATTAATAGTCAAGATCATAAATTTAAATTTAGATCACTATTTATATTTAGAATCTATATATTCAGAGCAAACAGAATCTGGATTGCAGTATGTGTGTATAATACAGATCACAATCTGAATCCAAAATCTAGATTCAAATCAAAGGCAATCTGAAATCACAATCTGTATTTATAGCATAAATTAAACTTTTTGAGTATAGATCACAAACTTAATTTACAAGGCTAGACTGGGTCTCGGTATTTTGAATGGGACTTGAATGGAGGTTACCAAGATGAATTTGCTGTATTAACTCAGTGATAAATACTAAAGTGGGTCATTTAGATTGTTTTGTTTTGTTGTCTGCTTAAATTTACATATGTAAAACTTATGTATCAATTTTTGTAATATAGTGAAAATAACAACATACTTTTACTTGGCATTCCTGCATTCTCTTATTTGACAAAAAAGCAAGAGAAAAAAATGCATTTAAAAAGTACTGACAATATAAAATACAATATAACTTATAATCTGGATGCATAATTTTTAAGAAATTGAATATAGAGTCTAAATTATAATCAGAATGAAATTACAATGCAGTAAATACTGCAGCTGTAAGTTGAATATGTTGCTTTACGCACAGTCAGGAAGGCAGTTTTCTGGCTCCATGGCCTCTTCAGCCGTCTCAGAGTATTCATCCTCTTCCTCGCCGGGTTTCCTGAGGTCGATCGTGCTGCCCTCTGATAGGCTGGTGTCATCACTCTGAAAACCAGGAGAACCAATCAGATCCCCTGACCAATGAATTTACACATTTGTCACTTATTCCAATTCCTAGAGATTTAAAAAAAACACACACATTTACAAATAAATCAATCAGACTGATGGCTGATTGGCTTGACTTTTTAATTTCTGAATATATATATATATATATATATATATATATATATATATATATATATATATATGATTATAATCTGAATCAAGAATCTAAATTTAGAGTGAACAAGAACCTGGATCACAATCTGCATTAATAGTCTAGATCATAAATTTAAATTTAGATCACTATTTATATTTAGAATCTATATATTCAGAGCAAACAGAATCTGGATTGCAGTATGAGTGTATAATACAGATCACAATCTGAATCCAAAATCTAGATTCAAATCAAAGGCAATCTGAAATCACAATCTGTATTTATAGCATAAATTAAACTTTCTGAGTATAGATCACAAACTTAATTTACAATCTATACATTCAGAGCAAAAATAATCTAAATTATAATATGGATGTAAAACATATATAATAATGTCAATCCTGAATGTGGATTTAGGGTACAATGCAGAGCACAATCTGAATCCAAAATCTAGATTCAAATCAAAGGGAATCTGAATCACAATCTGTTTTGAATATAGATCACTGAAATGATTTAGAATCTACATGTTGCGATCAAAGAATCTAAATTCTAATATGAATCACAATTTGTATTTATAGTATAAATCATATACTTTGAATATAGATTACAGGTTAGAATAGATTGACAGAGATTACATACAGAATATATAGATTACAGATTGGAATCTACATATTCAGAGCAAATATAATCTATATTACAATATGGATACACAATATATACAATATTCTAATTCAGAGCAATAGGAATCTGAATCACAATCTGTGTATGGGTCTAGCTCATAATCTGAACACTAATCACAATCCTGATTCAGGATCTGAATATACAGATAAAATATGTTTTAAAAAATTTGACTTTAGAAGTCCACTCTAATGATGTACAGTCACTCTTAGTATTGGATGGATGGATGGATGGATGGATGGATGGACAGACAGACAGGCAGACAGGTAGAATGATAGACAGAACGATGGATGGACAGGTAAAATGGTAAATAAAATGATGGATGGATGGATAAATGGATGGATGGACAGATATACAGGTAGAATGATAGACAGAACGATGGATGGATGGATGGACAGGTAAAATGGTAAATAAAATGATGAATGGATGGATGGACAGACAGAAGGGTAGAATGATAGACAGAACGATGGATGGATGGATGGATGGACAGGTAAAATGGTAAATAAAATGATGGACGGATGAATGGATGGATGGACAGACAGAAGGGTAGAATGATAGACAGAACGATGGATGGATGGATGTACAGGTAAAATGGTAAATAAAATGATGGACGGGTGAATGGATGGATGGACAGACAGAAGGGTAGAATGATAGACAGAACAATGGCTGGATGTATGGATGGATGGACAGTTAAAATGGTAAATAAAATGATTGATGGATGAATGGATGGATGGACGAACAGACGGGTAGAATGATAGAACGATGGATGGATGGATGGATGGATGGATGGATGGATGGGTAAAATGGTAAATAAAATGATGGATGGATGGATGGATGGGTAAAATGATAAATAAAATGATGAATGGATGGATGGATGGATGGATGGCTGGATGGATGGACGCACGCACGCACAGACAGACAGACAGGTAGAACAATAGATAGAATGGTGGTTGGATGGATGATCGATAGAAAGAGAGATAGACAGACAGGTAGGATGACAGATAGAATGATGGATGGATGGAGAGACAGACAGACTGGTAAAACAATAGATACTGTAGAACAATGGATGAATGGACAGAACAGACAGATAGAATGATAGAACAATAGAAGGACGGACAGACAGAAGATAGATAGATAGATAGATAGATAGATAGATAGATAGATAGATAGATAGATAGATAGATAGATAGATAGATAGATAGATAGATAGATACTATTCATAAATATTACAGTTATCTTGTAAAAATCATTCAATAACTTTGACGCATTGATAATAAATTAATGAAAGCATCTCTCCTGCTGTACAGAACAGTTCCATCAGGCAGTTTACTTTCAGCACATAGGTGCACAGACCAAAATAAAGCACACAGAGTGTCTGTATAATTCACACAGACACTCGGGCCCGTCCAGAGCCGGAGGGAAAGCACTGTGACACCCGAAGGACAGCCCTCCTCCATTATCCCCCACATTATAAATGATTAACCCAGATCTACAGAGAGTGTAAATGGAATCTCAGTCGTAACAGACACAGAGATACAGTACATCACGCACAGCCTCAGGGAGGAAGGTAAGCTGTGAGAGAGGGGCTGTTCTTCACGTGCCTGAAGGAAATGAATTAAGTCCAGTCACTCAGAAACACTGAGATGGTAGAGATGGGAACGAACCAGGGTTCAAAATCTACACTCAACAAATACATTTAAAATTAGACGTTGGTAAGTAAAATAAAACAGTTAGTCAACTTTCACTGAAAACATTTGATCCTTATCAAAAACAAGCTGTCATGACTTACTCAGTGGAAACTGTATCATCATAAGTTTTTTTTTTTTCTCTCCAAAACTCCATATGGTACATAAGCCCTGAATGCAAGGTTGTTATTTTTTTTAATAATTCAGTGAGTCTATTATTTACTTATGTTTCTGCTGTTTATGAAATTGATCAAATGGGTTATTAATCCCATTTTTCCACCCATGAACGAAAAACGAAAATTTACGTTTTTCGTTCATGGGTGGAAAAATGGGATTAATAACCCATTTGATCAATTTCATAAACAGCAGAAACATAAGTAAATAATAGACTCACTGAATTATTAAAAAAAATTTCTGACTGACAACCGGAGAACAACAGATATTAGCCTACTGTTAGCTATATAATGTAGTCTTGTGTTTTATTAAAATTTATTATCATTTATATCTCAAAAGGATATGCATTCACCAGAAAGGGGCATTTAATTCCCGCCCACATGTAGAAATCAAATATTCAAGCTGTTTATTCATTTTTCCACCCATGAACGGAAAACGAAAATTTAAGATGAATTCTCGTTTCTCGTTTTTTGGAAAAAAACGAAAAAGGAGCCGTTTTCTCATTTTTCTACTTTCAATATTAAATCAAAAAACGAATGATCGAATGATACACGGATTGTTGACACTGTTTTGTTTCGTTTTGTTTTTCAGAGAGAAAAATTCAGAGAGAGAAAAAAAACGTCAAAACATTTTTAAAAAGTCAATTTGATTTTTTTAAGGGTACACCATTATATTTGTGTTGTACAAAAAAAAGATAGCTAGATAGATGGATAGATGGATGGATAAAAATTATAAAAATAAAATACATCAAAACAACAACAACAACAAAAAACTTCAGGCCACAAAAAAATATCTTGGCATAATATAGCAAAGCAACAAGAAACAGGAAGGAGAAATAAATAAACAAATCCAAATAAATAGAGAGACCAATATTTATGTTAGGTTACTATGTAATATAATGTCCACAAAACAAGCCACTACAAATTCTTCATCACAGTTTCTATGATAACTGCATGTAACCCTCGATGGGTTAAAAGAGAGGCTGCACACATTTTTTTTCCCAGATTTAAGAGCTTTTCATGTTTTTTGCTTGGCTTTTGTGAGCCACACGCAGCATTAACTGCTCTTCAGTAACACACGCAGACACAGATGTCTCTGAAGGGCCGTCCATTTGAATGCCAGAGTCTTTGTAATAATAATAGGCGGCTTGATGGGCGCGTGGAGAGCGAGGCTCGCGCTTTAATCCGCGATGACAACATGTCAAACACGTGTTCTCACCCTCGTGCGGTCGAGACGTCTTTATTCCCAAGTGTTCATCGCCACCTGCACGTGTGTGGGGGATCAGGATGAAAGATGTGGCAGATGCATCTGCATGACGTTCTGATATCAGAGCTGTCGTCTCGACAGGTGAAAACCTCTTCATGCTCTCTTAAAATCGAAATTTTTTAGCATTGAATTACGAATCAGTGGACAAGAACATGACATTCCCGCTCCGAGCGCAGGCTTACGTTTCAAGTAGCTTCTAAGCAGGGATTATCTCAGACTTTGCTCTCCAATAATGCCACGGAGGGTTACTCAAACATAACCTTAACTAAAACAGGTTCTAGTTTATTTAAAGCTATACTGACCCCTTGCTGAGCTCCACCCCTTTTTACTAACAGAACAATGTGCTCATAAAGTGGTCAGATCTGATCGGAGATGATTTTTATGAGCACTGGAAAGAATTGTGAAATTTTTATTGGCCATTCTCTGCTAAAGAAATTGTTGTAAAATAACTAAAAACTACTGAGTTGAAGCAAAAGCCAGCTGTAAACAGAAAAGCCTCATTTGAATGCGCAAACATTAGTGTAAAGTTTCTACAATTCATTCACTACGTTTTTTTAAAGAAACTGTTAAATTAACGATTAAAACTCATGAGTAACATTAAAAAAAAAAACGGAAAAACTACAAATCAAAAATTAAGCAAATGCTTCTCAGCCAATTGCAAAGAGAAAATATGCATTGTAATGTTTCTACATTACATTTACTACTTTTAGAAATTGGCAAATTACGTAGTACATACTAATAATTAGCAAAAAAAGATGCCACTGTCAGACGAAAAAATTTATGAGCACTGGAAAGAATTGTGAAATTTTTATTGGCCATTCTCTGCTAAAGAAATTGTTGTAAAATAACTAAAAACTACTGAGTTGAAGCAAAAGCCAGCTGTAAACAGAAAAGCCTCATTTGAATGCGCAAACATTAGTGTAAAGTTTCTACAATTCATTCACTACGTTTTTTTAAAGAAACTGTTAAATTAACGATTAAAACTCATGAGTAACATTAAAAAAAAAACGGAAAAACTACAAATCAAAAATTAAGCAAATGCTTCTCAGCCAATTGCAAAGAGAAAATATGCATTGTAATGTTTCTACATTACATTTACTACTTTTAGAAATTGGCAAATTACGTAGTACATACTAATAATTAGCAAAAAAGATGCCACTGTCAGACGAAAAAACAACAACGAAGACCGCTGTGGTTAAACGCGATAAAACAAGCGGACTGGACAGAAACGATTGTCAAAAATGCTCGCGTTTGCAGCGCACACTTCTTATCAGAAAAGGTTCAATAAAGTATTGTCTTTTGTTGTTATGGATGCTTCTAAAGATTTCTTATGCATCTCACGATTATGTCGCGTATGAAATAATGTCTGTGTGCATGTGTGTAAAACAACAAATTGACAATTTATATGGTTAATCATTTGTAATTGTATATACATTGTCGTGATTAATTGTGGCTGGAATAATAATGTAGCTGTAAAAATAGTTGCCTGCTGAAATTGAAATGTATATACATCTTCATGACTAGATGAGTTTGTCTTTACTAAACACGTTAGATGTGAGTCACTCAGCCAGAGGGAATCCTGTCAGATCGTCCAAGCTTTGAGGGAGCGTGTACAGGTCGGCCGATCTGGTTTCGTCCGTTAAAGTTAACCTTTTCAAATAACAATCGCGGTCCCGGACAGTGAGTGACCTTACAATATGCATGTAAAATCAGACATCATTGTTAAAAAAACAAGCTAACAAACTTCATAGCTAGCGTTAGTGAAGCGGTCAGGGGAATCTTTCTGCCTCCACCTAAGCTCCACCCACAGAAAAAAAACGCCACAATGTTTACCAACAGAAAAAGTGTCTGTATTTGTAGCAATAGCCAAAAATACATTGTATGGGTCAAAATTATGGATTTTTCTTTTATGCAAAAATTCATTAGGATATTAAGTAAAGATTATGTTCCATGAAGATATTTTGTAAATGTCCTACTGTAAATATATTAAAACTTAATTTTTGATTAGTAGTATGCATTGCTAGGAACTTCATTTGGACAACTTTAAAGGCGATTTTCTCAGTATTTAGATTTTTTTGCACCCTCAGATTCCAGAGTTCAAATATTGTCCTATCCTAACAAACCATACATCAATGGAACGCTTATTTATTCAGCTTTCAGATGATGTATAAATCCCAATTCCGACCCTTATGACTGGTTTTGTGGTCCAGGGTCATATATATATGTCCTCAGAGTTTATATCTCACAATTCTGATTTAATAACTTGCAACTGTGTGTCAAAATTGTGAGATATAAACTCATAATTATGAGGGGAAAAAACTGACTATTTCTAATAATTGTGACTTTATTTATTAAAATTATGAGTTTATATCATGCAACTCTGACTTTATAACCTGCAATTATGAGTTTATATCTCACACAATACTGAGAAAAAAAATAAGTTAGAATTACCAGATGTAAACTCACAATTGCAAGAAAAAAAGTCTGAGAGATAAAAAGCAATTACTTTTTTTTTTTTACCCCAGTGGCGGAAACGAGCTTCCATATCAATGAGCCTCATTTGAAAGTACCAACATTAGTGCAGCGTTCGCTACTTTATTTAAAGAAAACATTAAATTACGCAGTAACATGATTAAAAACAAATTTGAGGCAAACGACTCTCACTGACAACTACAAAGAGAAAAGCCTCATTTGAAAGTTATAACATTGCTGTAACACTGTAACATTTCTATAATGCATTCAATACCTTTGAAGAAAATGATAAATTATGCAATGCATTATACAAAGGTGCAAATCTGAAATGATGGAAACACTTTTCACAAAAGCCTCGTGTGAAAGTAATAACTAAATTTATACATCATATCAAATACTTTCTTTAAAGAAATGATTAAATTACACAGTTTGCAGCGCACACTTCTTATCAGAAAAGGTTCAATAAAGTATTGTCTTTTGTTGTTATGGATGCTTCTAAAGATTTCTTATGCATCTCACGATTATGTCGCGTATGAAATAATGTCTGTGTGCATGTGTGTAAAACAACAAATTGACAATTTATATGGTTAATCATTTGTAATTGTATATACATTGTCGTGATTAATTGTGGCTGGAATAATAATGTAGCTGTAAAAATAGTTGCCTGCTGAAATTGAAATGTATATACATCTTCATGACTAGATGAGTTTGTCTTTACTAAACACGTTAGATGTGAGTCACTCAGCCAGAGGGAATCCTGTCAGATCGTCCAAGCTTTGAGGGAGCGTGTACAGGTCGGCCGATCTGGTTTCGTCCGTTAAAGTTAACCTTTTCAAATAACAATCGCGGTCCCGGACAGTGAGTGACCTTACAATATGCATGTAAAATCAGACATCATTGTTAAAAAAACAAGCTAACAAACTTCATAGCTAGCGTTAGTGAAGCGGTCAGGGGAATCTTTCTGCCTCCACCTAAGCTCCACCCACAGAAAAAAAACGCCACAATGTTTACCAACAGAAAAAGTGTCTGTATTTGTAGCAATAGCCAAAAATACATTGTATGGGTCAAAATTATGGATTTTTCTTTTATGCAAAAATTCATTAGGATATTAAGTAAAGATTATGTTCCATGAAGATATTTTGTAAATGTCCTACTGTAAATATATTAAAACTTAATTTTTGATTAGTAGTATGCATTGCTAGGAACTTCATTTGGACAACTTTAAAGGCGATTTTCTCAGTATTTAGATTTTTTTGCACCCTCAGATTCCAGAGTTCAAATATTGTCCTATCCTAACAAACCATACATCAATGGAACGCTTATTTATTCAGTTTTCAGATGATGTATAAATCCCAATTCCGACCCTTATGACTGGTTTTGTGGTCCAGGGTCATATATATATGTCCTCAGAGTTTATATCTCACAATTCTGATTTAATAACTTGCAACTGTGTGTCAAAATTGTGAGATATAAACTCATAATTATGAGGGGAAAAAACTGACTATTTCTAATAATTGTGACTTTATTTATTAAAATTATGAGTTTATATCATGCAACTCTGACTTTATAACCTGCAATTATGAGTTTATATCTCACACAATACTGAGAAAAAAAATAAGTTAGAATTACCAGATGTAAACTCACAATTGCAAGAAAAAAAGTCTGAGAGATAAAAAGCAATTACTTTTTTTTTTTTACCCCAGTGGCGGAAACGAGCTTCCATATCAATGAGCCTCATTTGAAAGTACCAACATTAGTGCAGCGTTCGCTACTTTATTTAAAGAAAACATTAAATTACGCAGTAACATGATTAAAAACAAATTTGAGGCAAACGACTCTCACTGACAACTACAAAGAGAAAAGCCTCATTTGAAAGTTATAACATTGCTGTAACACTGTAACATTTCTATAATGCATTCAATACCTTTGAAGAAAATGATAAATTATGCAATGCATTATACAAAGGTGCAAATCTGAAATGATGGAAACACTTTTCACAAAAGCCTCGTGTGAAAGTAATAACTAAATTTATACATCATATCAAATACTTTCTTTAAAGAAATGATTCAATTACACAGTAACACATTTAAAAATTGTTTTAAAAAATCTGAATAGAATTAATCGATTTCCAACCACTTTAATACCACTGGTTGATTCAAGTAGTTTAGAAATCACACACTTTACCTTCATGAAAGTAAATAGGGTCATATTTGATGTGTTGTTGTTATTAAGAAAGTTTCATCTAATTTGCATGATTAATTCTGAACTCCTGGGAGTTTGAATGTGTGGCTCTGTGTGTTTTCCTCTAGAGGACGTTTGAAAAGGCTGGAGATTGAATCTGTCAGCAGTAACCTAGATGGCACTTCCTCCTCCAGCGCACTCTGACAGGGTCCGCCTCGCTAGCCTTGCTATCTGTCTGACACGCAAGAAAACAAATCTTCCTTTTGTTCGCCCAGACCAATTTTCACTTTTTAATAGCCTAGCGAGCAGATCGTTTCATTAGCCAGCTAGAACCCATTTAGCACACCACGGCATTGTTGGCGGTCGTCAACTGATAAACTGTATCAAACCCTCTAACCTGCAGTTCCTGGGCCTTGATTAAATCAAACATTAAAATCGGTTTACTTTAGCAGTTATTAACAACTTATTTTTAGGTCTGTCAATCAATTCAAATAGTTGGAATAATTCCTTAAGCAGAGTTGTAAATATGTTTGTTTTACTAAATTAAACTGGTAAACTGACAGCCCTACTTAAAAGTACACATGACAGAAACAGGATTTTAAATATGACCATGATAATTAATTTGATTAAATTAACATGTTCAACAGACAGCCCTACTTATTATATATGAAGAAAAAAAAACATGAATGACCATGCATGGATGATCAGTTTTCTTTACATTTTTGTGCTTTATTTTCATAATTGATATTTTTTAATTTTTTGCAATTTATTTTTTTATTATTAATTTTATTAAATTAACATGTTAAACAGACAACCCTACTAATGAAAAACTGCGTTTCTGTCATATATAATAAGTATAGGATCAGTTGCGTTATTTTTGTGCATTATTTTATTAAATTCATATAAAATGTAATAATACATTTTATTAAATTAGTGTGTCAAACTGACAGCCCTACTTATTATATATGACGGAAACCTGTGATGTATGATCGGTTGCGTTACTTTTTTATATGTTATTTTTAGAATTAATTTTATTAATTTAACATTAAACTGACAGCCCTACTTACGACATATAACAAAAACAGGAATTTTCATACATGTATGATCATTTTCTAGTGCATTATTTTTACAATTCACATAAAAAGTGTGAAATTGTACTTTTATATAACAGAAACAGGAATTCACAGCCAGATATGTATGATTCCATTTTGCTAAAACACTTTTTACTAATTTAATGTGTTAAAACGACGATCCTACTCACTATACATTTCAGAAACATGGCATTGCTGCATTCTGAAGATGTCCTGAAATACTCAAAAATACTGTTACCTAGAACTAAGAACAATAAGAAAAATGTTGAGTTATTGTTTAACATCGTTAGGTCTTTTTATTTGGTCCTCCTGGCAAGAGCAAATTTTTAGTTTTAAGTGACAATGTACTGAACCCAAGTGACCTGTATTCAGCGGATGGGATCGAAATATCTCTATGTCCTCCTTCAATGTCTCACCTCAGCAAAACAGAAAAGCTTCACAAAGGCTGAAAGACGTTTGCAGTGCTCTTAAGGCACAGCCTCCGCTTCGGCTAATGCACTTCCATGCATTTTTTAAAAGTCACACACAAAGCGGCTCCATACTCACGTATCTGTGCGAGCCGTCGTAATCACACCTCTCGATGTGGCCGAGACTGCCGTCGGAAAAATACAGCTTTTCGGCTTTGTGGTCGATGGTGAGTCCATTAGGGGTGATGACATCCACACTAACAATGACGCGGACATTCCGGCCGGTTAAGGTCGACCTCATGATGCTTGGCTTCTGCTCGTTCCAGTTAGTCCAGAACATCAAGCTGGGGGAACACAAACAGACTGTTAGCCGTCACATCACGTGATTTTTACCATAAAAAACTAGTCCTAAAAAAAACTTGAGTCATCCTTAAAAATATCAAACTTAACTGACGCAAGCACTTTTCTTAGAATTAGTATACATTTTCTGAGCCATTAGTTCTTCAAATTTGGCATATTTCAGACATACATTATTTCTTTGAAAGTCACATTAAAATTTCACAAATATGCATTTGAAAAAAAATATAAGAAACTAAAACTTAAGTATGAATATGACCAAAAGTATCAAAAGCGTTTTTAATATTTTTTTATTATTATTATTTGTATTAATTATTTAAGATATATATATATATTTGTTATTAAGAAAGTTTCATCTAATTTGCATGATTAATTCTGAACTCCTGGGAGTTTGAATGTGTGGCTCTGTGTGTTTTCCTCTAGAGGACGTTTGAAAAGGCTGGAGATTGAATCTGTCAGCAGTAACCTAGATGGCACTTCCTCCTCCAGCGCACTCTGACAGGGTCCGCCTCGCTAGCCTTGCTATCTGTCTGACACGCAAGAAAACAAATCTTCCTTTTGTTCGCCCAGACCAATTTTCACTTTTTAATAGCCTAGCGAGCAGATCGTTTCATTAGCCAGCTAGAACCCATTTAGCACACCACGGCATTGTTGGCGGTCGTCAACTGATAAACTGTATCAAACCCTCTAACCTGCAGTTCCTGGGCCTTGATTAAATCAAACATTAAAATCGGTTTACTTTAGCAGTTATTAACAACTTATTTTTAGGTCTGTCAATCAATTCAAATAGTTGGAATAATTCCTTAAGCAGAGTTGTAAATATGTTTGTTTTACTAAATTAAACTGGTAAACTGACAGCCCTACTTAAAAGTACACATGACAGAAACAGGATTTTAAATATGACCATGATAATTAATTTGATTAAATTAACATGTTCAACAGACAGCCCTACTTATTATATATGAAGAAAAAAAAACATGAATGACCATGCATGGATGATCAGTTTTCTTTACATTTTTGTGCTTTATTTTCATAATTGATATTTTTTAATTTTTTGCAATTTATTTTTTTATTATTAATTTTATTAAATTAACATGTTAAACAGACAACCCTACTAATGAAAAACTGCGTTTCTGTCATATATAATAAGTATAGGATCAGTTGCGTTATTTTTGTGCATTATTTTATTAAATTCATATAAAATGTAATAATACATTTTATTAAATTAGTGTGTCAAACTGACAGCCCTACTTATTATATATGACGGAAACCTGTGATGTATGATCGGTTGCGTTACTTTTTTATATGTTATTTTTAGAATTAATTTTATTAATTTAACATTAAACTGACAGCCCTACTTACGACATATAACAAAAACAGGAATTTTCATACATGTATGATCATTTTCTAGTGCATTATTTTTACAATTCACATAAAAAGTGTGAAATTGTACTTTTATATAACAGAAACAGGAATTCACAGCCAGATTTCCATTTTGCCATTTTGCTAAAACACTTTTTACTAATTTAATGTGTTAAAACGACGATCCTACTCACTATACATTTCAGCATTGCGGCATTGCTGCATTCTGAAGATGTCCTGAAATACTCAAAAATACTGTTACCTAGAACTAAGAACAATAAGAAAAATGTTGAGTTATTGTTTAACATCGTTAGGTCTTTTTATTTGGTCCTCCTGGCAAGAGCAAATTTTTAGTTTTAAGTGACAATGTACTGAACCCAAGTGACCTGTATTCAGCGGATGGGATCGAAATATCTCTATGTCCTCCTTCAATGTCTCACCTCAGCAAAACAGAAAAGCTTCACAAAGGCTGAAAGACGTTTGCAGTGCTCTTAAGGCACAGCCTCCGCTTCGGCTAATGCACTTCCATGCATTTTTTAAAAGTCACACACAAAGCGGCTCCATACTCACGTATCTGTGCGAGCCGTCGTAATCACACCTCTCGATGTGGCCGAGACTGCCGTCGGAAAAATACAGCTTTTCGGCTTTGTGGTCGATGGTGAGTCCATTAGGGGTGATGACATCCACACTAACAATGACGCGGACATTCCGGCCGGTTAAGGTCGACCTCATGATGCTTGGCTTCTGCTCGTTCCAGTTAGTCCAGAACATCAAGCTGGGGGAACACAAACAGACTGTTAGCCGTCACATCACGTGATTTTTACCATAAAAAAACTAGTCCTAATATATATATATGCGCAGTTATTTTATTTCTTAAGGTTAATTACTTTACATGTATTTCTTGAATTAATTAACTAATATATTTTTTTATTATTTTTTTAATTAATTAATAATAATAATAAATTATATATATTTTTAATTAATTAATTAATTAATTTATTTTATTTCATTATATTACATTACATTACCATGATAAAATGATAGCCCTACTTATTATATATGGCAGAAACTTTTTGTATGGTTGGCTAAATTTTCATACGCATACAATCAGTTGCATAGTAGGGACTCCCGTGCCGCCAGAGTCGTGAGCTGCCGGACCCGCAGTCCGGACGAGAACTGCACCCGTTACAGGGCCGTCGGGTAAGGATGCCGGGCCGTCTAGTCCCTTCAAGCGCCGTGGGCAGAGAGAAGGACGAAGCCGCTGAAAGGCGCCGCCGCCCCTTGCGCCCTGGACCGGAGAGGGGAGCGCATGTGGCCGCCGGACTCCGCCCCTTACCTGGACCCTTCCTTCCTTCCTGACCACTGCCCTTCCCTTCAAGAACCCCACAGCACGACGAGGACACCAGATCCCCTGTTTATTTTGGACACTTGATTCCCTTTTGTCTGGACACTTTGTTTATTTTCTGTTAATAAAAGCCTCTCCGAGGCCTGACGCCACACCCACTGTGTCTGTCGTTTGCTCCTCCCGCGACAACACCCATTAACGTAAACTACGCCAGAGCAAGTACACACCTCACGCACCGGAAGCTGTGCACGCGCCCAAAGACAGTTAAACATAGTGGTGTATTAGAGGTAAAAAAAAAATTATATAAATACTCTTCGGTTTCTGGCACAAACCGATCGTTTCGTGTCTTAGGACATCAATGTGTCGTCACGAGCCACAGGGTTTAATTTGGATTTGTCTGTGGATGTTTTTTTTACTCTCATAGATTTTGTTTCCATTGCCATGCATTATACGACTGAAAATCATCAAATGTGTTCTACTGAAGAAACAAAGTCACCTACATCTTGGATGCCCTGGGGGTAAGCAGATAAACATCAAATTTTCATTTTTGGGTGAACTATCCCTTTAAGCAATTATGTCACCCTTAAAAATTTCTAAAAATTTTATTACATAGTAGGTAATATCAAATGTAGTGGCATCTAACAAATCATGCTAGTTAATTTTTTTTCACTTTTCTAAGACATTCCTTCTTCAAATTTCTTACATTTCCCGACCTACTGTAAATGTTTTCTTTGAATGGCACATACAAATGTTACAAGTCTATATATAAGTCTTCTTAAAACAAAACGCGAACCATTGATGCTTCGTTACACTATGCTAATAGCCTCATTAAAAATGTATTCATCTGCAATTATAATCAAAAAGGCTATAGCCTAATAGCATCAGCCCTTTTTCTTTTAATGTGTCAGAAAAACACTAGTCAGTCGAAGGACGAAGCATGTCCTTGTGTTTGAGATGAGTGTGCTAGCCTGGCATGTGACGGCACCTTGCAGTGTCAGTCGCTAGCGCCAGCGTGTGATTCCTAGCTGTGATCTTTGGCAGCTTTTGAATCGCAGGGAATTCTTGCTGACAGCAGCAGCCACTTATTGCCGTGCTAATGCCCTAACAGGCTAACACACCGACTGCTACAGTCCGACTAAGTGCTGTCCGGGTATGAAGCAGTGAAATGTTCCTTAGAGAACAAACAGCCATGTTAATGCTGAGGCTAAAAGATAGTATACTGTACTTTACTGTACCAGTGAGAAGTTATAAGCAATACAAGGGTTTGCAAAGTCTAAATTTCTGATTTCCTACTTGAAAAACTGAAGAAAATGTTTGGTTAGCAAACATTTTCGCGTTAAACACAATGATCTTGTTTATGAGTGTACACCTGAAGAACACAAGCTAATCCTAGTATAGCATTGTTTACCCTTAGCAATTTGACAAATGCTAACGCTAGCTGTCATCTTGCTTTCATATACAACATTTGTCAAGCATTAGGCAAAGTTTATAGTCAAAAATGTAACAGACATAGGAAAATTCCACATCTGACTGAATATAATTTAGCCTAAAATGGCGGGAAATGCTCAAATCAATTTAAATGTAGACGGCTGAGGCAAAATCAAACTAAACAAGGTGCTATCTCTTTCATAAGCTCAATTTGTCTTAAAATATCTTATAATTGATGATCGGTGGTTCTCAACTAGACAGTTTTGATCCAGGAAGCAGAAATTTAAATGTTACATGATGCTAACTGCTAAATAAAGCACAACTAACAGCAGAACAACACAGTAAGAATAACAAAAATATAGGGTTATCAACTTTTAAAAATGACAAAACTTATATATTTTGTTGTGGATGTCAAAAATTGTTTCACTTGTAAATCTTGTGATTTGTGCTGACAACAAAATGCTTTTACAAGTATTAGCAATTCAGCAACGTATAGTTATATTAATAAATTACTTTTATACTTTATTACACACATTTTAGCTCACTTTTGTAAGGCTTGCGCTCGATGTTTACTGTAAAACATAGTTGAGAACCACTGTGCTAGATGACACTAAAATCAGAGGATCAAACATAAAGGCAATCTTTAGTTCAGCAGGGCAGCAATTTGCCAAAGTAGAACAAATTATAAATAAATGCATAAAAGTGAAACTTAATGAATGTTTTCTAATTTGAAAATGAAAGGAGTTGCTGACAGAGATCAAGAGATGCAAACGTGTTTGGAGATTAATGCCGCAAATCTCTGTAACACAGGTCACCCTGTTTTAAATTTGAATCTTTATGAAGCTCATAACTCACTGATGTAAAATTAACACTCTGTATGTGGTCTGGAACCTAATTACTCAGAAATAATTAGAGGATCCCTCCCTTAATTGACCTTTTGGATAAAACAGCCATCAAAACAAATTGATCAACAAGGGTTTTTTTGAGGTGAGATGGAATGCAGAAACTTTTGGCATTTGAGATGGATGGATTTATTTTACTGTAATGAAGTGGACTTGCAAGATAGATAAAATACAGTATGAAAATGACATTTAAGAAAAACATGAAATACTAAATAAATTAGAAGAAATATATAAAAGAAATGAATTTATAATATATAAATATATAATTTAACTAATATATATATATGTATATGAATGATACATTTATTTCCTGAACGGCTATATTTTGGTGGAAAGCATTTATCTACAATAAAAAGTATAATTTATAATGGTTAGTAATATTTCTATAATATTTATTTCTAGAATAAGAAGAAGAAAAAGAAAAAAGATGAAGAAGAATGTAAATACATTTTATATTTAATATTATTCCATGGTCTGTCTGAATACTGGATTCTGATTGGCTGGCAGGTATGCACAGGTAGCTCCAAGTCAGTTTAATCACCGCTCCATATTAATGTGCTGCTTTAAAATATTATTCCATGGTCTGTCTGAATACTGGATTCTGATTGGCTGGCAGGTATGCACAGGTAGCTCCAAGTCAGTTTATCCATATTTCCATATTAATGTGCTGCTTTAATTGATGCACACTAACAACACACACACACACACACACACACACACAAAGAGAGAGAGAGAGAGAGATCGCAGATTGCGCTGCACACACACATCAACTTGTCGACACTTCCCCGCGATTTTTATTAATAAAATAGCCTAGATACTAGATTGATACACTATATTCCTCAGCAACAATGGTAAAATGGCTGTTTTTGAAGTAATTGTTTGTAGAGAGATACGCGCAGACACAGCACGCAGGTACACACAACTGTCCTCTCTCTCTCTCTCTCTCTCTCTCTCTCAATAATTAATTGAAATACATGCTATAATTCATTCAAATAAATGTGGTCTTACCGCACTATTTCATCTCTGTGTATGATTTGAAGCGGGCAGAATGCTAACGCTAATGTGCCGTAACTGATGAAAATAACTCTCAGTTTTACGCATTCGGTCAAATATTGTGATGCAAAGAGCAATACTAGTTTTAACTTGTCTATAACTTGGCAAACGACCATGGAATAAGCGGGATAATCAACAGCTAGCCGTGCATTAAAGGATTTAAAATGCACGACGTGGAGGCAAAGAACCGCCCGACGCGAAGCGGAAATGTTTTCCTCTTAAAATAGCTGTTCTTTATCTGTCTGCATATTCAGTTTGTATAAGTCATACAGTTGGAAATTAACTTCCTTTCAAAATGTCAAAGATGAACTTAAAACTCTAGACTTACTTCTGACATTCATCCAGAGTGAGGACGTGTGGGTGGTCCTCCTCAGACAGGGAGACCACCGTGTCTCTATTGAAAGTGTTTGGTCTGGTCTGGTCGATGCTGTGGCGGGTGATGGTGGCTGTGGTGGAGCTCGTCCAGTACAGGACGTCCCATCCTCGGTGGTACGCCAGTCCCTCCACAGAACCAACATCTAGAGAAGGAAACACAACGTCAAGGCTAATCTCTCAAGTACTCTCAAACAACGTACAGTGACCTACAACACACACTTTAAACACGCTACACTTTAAAGCCTGAAATAAAGCACACATACTTTTATCTTATTTTAAACCTTCTATCAGTAATATAATATATAAAAAGCATTGAAGCCCACAAATGCAAGCAGTTGATCTGAAAGCCATAAAACCAGATGGCAGGCAAACACCTCCACAGGTTATTTCACAAGTGATTCAAAAAGAAGAAAAAGCAGACAGATGGTCAATGTAAAAAACAGCTAGCTAGGTGTCAGAAAAGGTCAAGATGTGTTGTGGAAATCTACGTCAATACCAAATCGAAACCTTTAAAAAAGAAAAATACACCTTTTAGCGCTTAAAAACACTGCACTTAAGTGTTTGATTGTATATACAATTCCTTTTTTAATTAAAAAATAAAATTGAAAAAAATATATAACGAGTTCGTATTTTAACACATTTAATAATATTTTTGTATATTATAATAGTCCAATAGCATTTTAGCTCCAAGTTAAAATAAAACAAAACTAGAAGCAAAAACAGAATGAAAAATAAAGCTGAAACTTTAAAAATAATGTCAAATAATGACATTAGAATGGTTTTCCAAATGAAAAATAAAAATGTAAGTGAAAAAAGACAAATAAATAAACAAACATTTAAAATAGTTTATTTAATTTAAGTATAGAAATGCAATTAAATGTAACGATAAAATAAAAAAAGCAATCTGTTATAAAATATGATGTTTCAAACAATATAATATTACAACAGCACTTCAGTTCCATGTTAAAATGAAAAAAGAAAAGAAAATATAAAAGATTTAAGATACATTTGTGACTAAATCAAAGTAATATTTAGAGAAAAAAACACTTCTCAGAATTATTATTAGAATATATCCTGAGATCAATCAAAAATAAAAAATAAAAATAAGGATTTGCAAAACAGAAAAGTTCAAGTTCTTTAAAGTATGTTCATGTATGCACTCAATACTTGGTCGGAGCTCCTTTAGCACAATCTACAGCATCAGTGAGGTGTGGCATGGAAGCAATCAGCCTGTGGCACTGCTACAATTCAGCTCGTCTGTATTGTTGAATCGACTGTTTCTCATCTTTCTCTTGAAAATATGCCATAGATTCCAAATGGGGTTCAGGTCAGGCATGCTGACTGGCCAATCAAGCACAGTAATATCATGGTCAGCAAGCCACTTGGGAGTGGTTTTGGCACTGTGGGCAGGTGCCAAGTCCTGCTGGAAAAGGAAATCAGCATCTCCATAAAGCTTGTTAGTAGATGAAAGCATAAAGTGCTCCAAAATCTCCTGGTAGATGGCTGCATTGACTTTAGACTTGATAAAACACAATGGACCAACACCAGCAGACGTCACGGCACCCCAAATCATCACTGACTTCCGAAACTTCAAACAACTTGAATTCTGTGCCGCTCCAGTCTTCCTCCAGAATCTAGACCTAGATTTCCAAATTTAGTGCAAAATTTACTTTTATCTGAAAAGAGGACTTTGGACCACTGAGCAACAGTCCAGTTCTTTTTCTCCTTATCCAAGGTAAGATGCTTCTGACGTTGTTTCTGTTTCAGAAGTTGCTTGGTAGCCCTTTTCCTGAAGACGTCTGAGCGTGGTGACTCTTGATGCACTGACTCCAGCTTCAGTCCACTACTTGTGAAGCTCTCCCAAGTGTTTGAATCGGCTTTGCTTTTGAAATGTTTTGCTTTACATGCAATGAATCTAGAATGTATGTAAGTTTCACTTTCTGAAATAAGTTACAAAAAAATATATACTTTTTCACGATATTCTATTTTTTTCTAATATATATATATTACATTTACATTTTTAAATGTTTTCCTTTGAAACACCACAATATCGTCTCATGCATTTCCTATGTGCAACCATATCATGTACGATTCGACACAAAGTTCAGTGCATTTTTATAGCCTGCTTGGGCCTTTTAGTGAAAAACTAAATCATGCACTGATCAAACGATTATTCAGTCTTTTTGATGTTGCAATTGCATAACACAATGGAGGAAAAACTATTTTTTTTGAGTTTATCACACTGCAACCTGAGCATGTTTAAAGAAGCCCTGCAGAAATGCTTCACTTCTTTGGGGGGATGTGGTTCCTCATCCTCAAAACCCCCATAGAGCCTGACAGGGAAAGTGAGTGGCACTGAATAGGACATGCAGGCTCTGCTAGATTACTTGCAGGGAACATAAGGATTTAACAAGCGTAAAGCAGGACGCCGACTGCGCTGCAAAAAGGACAATACGACACCGGCTATTCAGAACCAGTGCAGTAAATTATTTAGACTATTTGCCATTAACTGTATAGGAAAGAAAAATATCAAATATAGTCAAGTGTATATCACAACTGTTTCTCCAAGACAGCAAAGAGATGCAATGAAGAGCAAACTGACACTTAAATCTCCTGTCCTGCTCTTCTAAAAAAAATAAATAAATTGTAATCTCCACAAGAGAGCTCAGCAAACTTTGTTTCAAAGTGTTTGCAGATTTGCTAACGTCTGCAATCCATCATGTGTCGCAAACACTGCAAGTCAACGTAAATTGCCTTTTGAAACCCATTTAAAGAGTTAGTTCACCCAAAAATGAAACTTAGCTTGTGTTTTACTCACCCTCGAGGCATCCTAGGTGTATATTAGGGCTGGGACGATAAATCGATGAAGAATCGATTCTGAGCTTAGATTTTAACAGCAGATGACACTCTAATCTAGTTTTTATCCGCATACTCAAATACTCATGAAGAAGAGTGCAAATGAGTGCTTGTGCGTTCGGCTGAGTCATGTAACTTCACCTCAGCTCAGAATGCTTTTATGACGCGAGATTAATGTAAACACAGCCACTGTGAACACCTTTGTAATTCGCTTCAACCTTTTTGAATTTTATGAATGATTATTTTAGGTTCAAGTGTGTGTAAGGATTTGGAAACAAGCAGAGTACGGCCGTTTCTAAAGCATGCAGTGCTATCTGCTGTTCAAAACTAAGCTCAGAATCGATTCAAGAAAGAATCGCGACGCATTCGGAAAATCTCAGAATCTCAGAAAATTATTTTCCCAGCCCTAGTGTATATGACTTTCTTCTTTCAGACAAATCCAATCGGAGTTATATTAAAAATGGTCCTGGCTATTCCAAGCTCTATCATTGCAGTCAGCGGGTGTTGTAGTTGAACAGTCCACAAGTCATCAAATACAGCGCACACATCCATAATAAAACGTGCCTCACACGGCTCCAAGGGGTGAATAAAGGCCTCCTGTAGCGAATCCATGTGTTTTTGTAAGAAAAATATCCATATTTCAAATGTAATAAACATTTTTCTCTCACTTCTGGTTTCTGTCATACGCGGAAGCCGTGCTGGCAGATGACATAAGACATCGGCGTTGCATGATTATTGACGAATGCGGAGAGAGAACAAAACAAAACGGCGGTCACGAATTAGAAGTACAAAGAGGTGCGCGCGCTGCATATATGTGCTTCGTCATCCGCCGGAACGTCTTCCGCGTATGACAGATACCGGAAGTGAGAGAAAAGGGTTTATTACGTTTGAAATATGGATATTTTTCTTACAAAAAAAACGCATAGATTCACTACAGGAGGCCTTTATTCACCCCCCGGCGCCGTGTGAAGCACATTTTATTATGAATGCACGAGCTTTATTTGACGACTTGTGGACTGTTCAACTGCAACACCCGCTGACTGCAATGATAGAGCTTGGAATAGCCAGGACAATTTTTAATATAACTCCGACTGGATTCGTCTGAAAGAAGAAAGTCATATACACCTAGGATGCTTCGAGGGTGAGTAAAACACAGGCTAATTTTCATTTTTGGGTGAACTAACCCTTTAACATCTGTACTGTCAAGTTTTAGGATTAAAAAATATATTTTATGGGCAGTGTTCAATATTAGTCATCAAGAATAGTACTGTAATAGCAAAAAGTAAGCATTTGCAATCAACGAATCAATAAAAGAATGAATAAATAAATGCATTTCTACTTCAAAATATTTATAAATATGACAAGCATTTTTAATATTTCTATTACACACACACTTTATTTTATTTCCATTTTATTATTATTATTTATTTTTTTTAAGATTTAGTAACAAGTTTTAGTCTTTTGCTTTTTTAATATATGTGACCCTGGACCACAAAACCAGTCTTAAGTCGCTGGGGTATATCTGTAACAATAGCCAATAATACATTGTATGGGTCAAAATGATTGATGTTTCTTTTATGCCAAAAATCATTAGGATATTATATAATAATAATATGATAATACATTTTGTAAATTTCCTACCGTAAGTATGTTTTGATTTTGATTAGTAATATGCATTGCTAAGATCTTCATTTGGACAACTTTAAAGGCGATTTTCTCAATATTTAGATTTTTTTGCGCCATCAGATTCCAGATTTTCAAATAGTTGTTTCTCAGCTAAATATCGTTCTATCCTAACAAACCATACATCAGTAGAAAGCTTATTTATACAGCTTTCAGATGGTTTATACATCTCAATTTCAAAAAATGTACCCTTATGACTGGTTTTGTGGTCCATGGTCACATATGTTTATAGTTTAAGGTTTTAGTTCACTTAGTTTTACTTATTTGAGTACTCCAACTTTAAACAAAAATGAGAAATCCTATCCTGTTTATACAGTATATTATTGTATAAATATAAAATTTAAACATACATTACTTTTTTTCACCATTCACAATAAAATAATGATTATGTCAGGGATAATCAAAGGCTTGCCGTGCATGCTGTGTCTGCGCGTCTCTCTCTACAAACAATTAATTACTTCAAAAACAGCGATTTTACAACTCGTTGCTGAGAAATATAAGGTAGCGATCTAGTATCTAGGCCATTTTATTAATAAAAATTGTAGGGAATCGTTGACAACAAGTTTATGCCACGTATCTGCCATCTGCGATGAGGACAATGAAAGCAATCAAAATCAACAAAAGAGCAATATGCAAGTGCTATAACAAGTCTCTGTTAGCCTAACGCAAGTAAGTTCATTAATATTATATTATTAATTATAAAATAAATTAAAGGAAACAGATAGAATAGAAAAAGAATAGAGCAAGCTAGTGTTAGAGGCCTTGTTTTGCTTTTCGTTTGTATAATAAATAAAATAAAACAAATAGATGGAATACAAAAAGAATAGAGAAGCAATTTTTTTAAAGAAAACAAGCAGTTAGTAAATTAATAAATGGGCAAGTTTTTTTTTTTTAATGACATCATTCACATGGCCCAGCTGACTGGTTACTTTTCACTACAGCAGCCAATGAGCTTGCTGCTCAACATTCAAATACTTGGCTAGTGCTTGCTGTACCAGTTACAGTGCGCTTCAGAAACCCTCTACCTCCCCCAGCTCCACCTGTATAGATCTATATGGGGTAATTTCATGTGTGTTATATATGGGGATTATTTCATATATGTTATATGTGCAGCAGCAGTATTTCCTACATGCTCACAGCAGCATGTCTGTGGATGTATTGGCAAAAGCAAGTCTTGGTAGCGTAGCAGATCTATTCCACCAAGACCAAACACATTAACATTGCCATGCATACTACCATGCTAAACTCTCTGATAGTTTTCATGACAGAAATGGGAGTGTTAAATGACACCAATGGAATTCTAAAATGCAAAAACCAGGGGAAATAAGTATCCAACAATAAATATACAATTTTGATCTAAATAAATAAATACATACTAAACCCTATACGATGCCAACATAACATGCATCCATAGAAAAATTGTAAGACCAGGAACAAGCGCTAAGAAAACAAACTTGACTTTAAACAGCAATAACCTGGTATTTGTTTATCAGAGGTCATCAAGAACACGGATCCAGATGAAAATGACTGGTTTTAATAATGGAAGTGACATGACATTTCCACTTCGGGCTCCAACGAGAGTTACGCAAGAAGGCAGAGGTCTGCGTGTTGCCTTGGAAACTTCTCCTGTACGATATATTACATGTGTCAAGCGATCACATCCCGCCTGCGATCTATCACCATCCTCCGGCTAACAAAGACAGATTTCCCCCGATGGAGCCGCAGCATTGGCATCGTGGTCTAGTTCACACTCGCTGTCTGTCTGACATTTTCCCTCTGCATGTCTCTCTCTCCAAGCCAATACTCTCGCAGTAGCTCTCTTTCACCCCTGACCCGCAATTGATTTTCCTCACACATGGATAAAAAGCCTTTAGGGCTCGACGTCTTGCGCGCTTGTGGAGCCTTGACTAAGTAAAACCTTTAATTCTTTCAAATATTCTCTCACAGATTTCCATTGAATTACAATGGCCTCTCTCTTCATTCATAAACCAGACATGCCTCTCCTAAATGACTAATTATACTTTGGTGTTGTTCGTTTTTTGTATTTTTCACACTGATTAGCCTTTTCGTAGCTTAGTAATGTGTCTAACAATAACCTTGAGGTGTGAATCGAGCACAAAAGAAGTGTTATTTTAAAGAAACTGTTCACCAAGAAGTAAAAAAAAACTCACATTAATGTGAAACACGAAACACAAAAGACGAAATTTGTGGTATATTTGAAGTCTTCTGGTAGTTTAAACTTGAAATTTAAGTCATTATTCACTAAATTCTAAAGTCTGAATGATTCATTTATGAATTGGACTGATCTAGTTCTCGAGATTAATTTAATCTGCAGGTGCAAATAATTTTTTTGCAAAAATCTGAATGCAGAAGTTAACAGCTCACTCAAATCTTCATTTTCTTCCAAATTTAGACAATATTTGTTATATATCTTAAAATTTTGACTCAAGACTGATTGACTCAATCGCTTAAAGTTAATATTTAGATCAAATAATCATTCAGATATATTGAGTCATTCAAACGATCTGACTTCATAGAATGAATTGCTCATAATTCTGGCATCTCTACTTTTCTCATGAACATGCCAAATTTAGTGAATAATAGGGATGTAACGAAATTATCAATATTGTGATATAGCGAAAGCAAAACTGTCTCGATATTATCGTGGTTACATTATCGTGGATAGGCTTCTAGGCAAAAACTGTAGTTTTTAAAAATATAATTAAACAACTTATTCTAACATAAAGGGTCTTTATAAAGGGCTTTGGCACAGTATCTGTCAAATTAACTAAAACCGAAAACACAATATTGCTTAATCCCTTCATCAAGTCTGTTTGCACTACGTGTTTCAAAGGGAAGCGTGCACGTCATTCAGGTGATCAGCTCGTGATCCGGTGTTTTCTGTGCCTCAGAACAGCTCTGTTCACGGTGAATGCAGTGAACTCCATTACTGCATGTGCAGTGAGTTTAGCGCCCGTTTGGGAATGCAACTGCCACCAGTTATGCTTGATTTTCACAGCAGATGATTACAGCATTTCACTAGATTTGTATCAGTCTACTGCTGTTTCCGTCAAAATAAAAGCTTAAAAGTGCAGTACGAATTGCTGACAGTTAGTGGTTTAAATGCAGTCCAAATTCAAAATATCTCTTTCAGGTGTAGAAATTAGGAAAGAAGTATTGTAATTTCCCTAGTGTAGTGTAAAGCAAAAATAATATACCTATGAAATACAAATTTTCATTTATTTTATATTGTTATAATTTGTTTGGCTTCCTAAAACACCAGTGTGAATGTAATTTAGCCTGAGACAGTATATCACAAATAAAAATAGGGTTGAGTCTCATTTACAAGGAAAAGGGTTGGAGCTCTTAATTTTGAACACTCAAGGTGCATTACATAGAAGAATTTAACTTTAAAACGTACAAAACTTTCTTTCTTTTTTTCTCCAATTCTCCATTTGTCTTTTTTTCCCCAAATACTGCAATAAATATTGTATCGTGGACTTCATATCGCGATATTATCATACCGTGAGATTTTGATATTGTGACATCCCTAGTGAATAGTGGCTTAAATTTCAAGTTTTTACAAAAAAACTACCATAGATTGTACAGTTCTGAATAATGTCTGAAACATTTGTATTACTATCAAGGAAACTTTCACCAAAAAACAAAAAAAAATCATTATGCTTTTGCCAAACACAAAAGATGAAATTATTTTTAAACAAATGAACACAAAAGGAATCATCCATAAGATACCAATATAAAAATATGAAAAAAATAATACAAAAACTGCAACCTTCCTACAAAACCTCAAAGTTGTTGCAAAGCAAGTTCTTTCAAAGAAAATTCCAATTCCCAAATTTTTTACTGTCAACAAAATTATTGTGATAAGTATTGCCCAGTCCCACTGGGAAGGAAGATTATCAAAATAAATAAATATATAAATTAATTAATTTAAAAAAACTCCAGTTCCCATTCATTAGTATTGCATGGAAATGACCAACGTCATTCATTAAAATTTCTTCTTTTGTGTTGCACAGAATTAGCAAGTCAAACAAAAATGAGTCTGACAAAATGATGTATTATTCATTTTTAGGTTAAAAAGCGTTTCAATCTTTAAAAAAAGTCATCAACATCTTGCAATAACAAACGCACTGCAATTTAAGTGTAAAATAACCCCAAGGCTCTATTGCAAGCACGGGAAGAGGCAAGCAGGGTGCTCGCATGACAGTCAGTTTTGACAGTCGAATACATGAAGAGCGAGGAAGATTAGGTGTGATTCCTCTGTCTGTGAAAGTTCACGCTGACTGAACAGGTTGAGCTGTTGTCAATAAAAACAGATTTGGAAACGCTGTTAACAGCGTGACAAAAACAAAGTCTTTAATCACCAGCACTGGTGAAAACTATAGAGGTCTGAGTAAAAGTCATCGAGCCGAGCAACTGTCTGGTCTTGAACTGGCTTTGATTTGGAGAAGCTGCAATATGTCAGATTTGAACCACCCTGTCAACAAAAGTTAGTCTTTGGAGATGTTGGAGCAACACACAGTTTATAACTGCCAGATGAAATGTACAAAAACATTTCCGAGTAAGTTCACTTTAAGCTCAACATTAAAAAACTAATAGTCACAAATCAGCTAAAAAAAAGTCACTTCAACTAAAGAGCTACCAGTCATTCCCTCGCCTCTATCAGCCCTCAAACAAGAGTATGTACAGACAAGCTGTGTATCAGCTCAACACCAAGATACATGCCTGCAATATATCAGCATAAATCCATGACAAAAGATAAAGCTTAGCGTCTAGGGTCAGGTATAACAATCTGAGCGCCTGCCACGGCCTCGTTTGACAAATATCACAATTCCTCTCAGGCAAGCTATCGTTCAGCACGGCAGCTGCGAACTGACAGCTCTGCAGGTTAATGGCATACTGATTAAATGAGACGTGTGTTAATGTTGACAAGGTTAGGGCCTGATAAATCACAAGAGGTATGAATTTCAATGCCGGCTACTGGGCTGCTGCTTTATCAGAGTAATTGGCTGTACCTTGTATGGATCATTTATTTACATTTGACCACAATTAATTGGCCGTGATGCTGCTACAAATATGAGCTGCATTGCAAATAAAGCAAATAAATGTGTTATGAAAGTACCTTGGACAGACAATATCAGGCTAAACGTTCTGGAAGATGATCTAAAAGTTTTGACAAATCCATACAAACAATTTCCAGTTCATTCAAATGTTCCTCAGAGACATAATGCTATGAACATTAAGGGTGTCTGAAAAGCTTTGTAAAAATCATTCATCAGCATTATTCAGAAGGTATCTGCTTTCTAAACAACATTTAAGTTACACTGGACATTGTCATTTAATCTTTACTTCATCTAATATGGGCTTTTAAAGACATTAAAAGTCCAAGAAAACATAGCAGACTTGAGCATGAATTCATGAAAGGGTTCTCAAAACAACTGACAAAATAACTAAAAAAACAATTATTTCCAACAAAAAAGCGTGACTAACAATATAGGCAAAAGTAATTAGACACAATTACTTACTCTCAGCAATGACGCGTCGTCCTGTCCAGTCGTCATTGATGACTTGTATATTCCCATAATGAACATCGCTAAAGAAAATCCGATTGGTTCCGTGCGTTTTCTGATGATGATCAAAGGCCAAAGCTATAACGTTTTTAAAATAATTTGGGTTCTCGTACGCCCTTATTGGCGAGTTGAGGTTATTCTCATCCGATAGATGAATACTCCTCAAAACGGTCCTCTCGGAGTACAGCAGGTAACCCTCGTATCTGTTGCAATGGAGTCCATCCTGAGCAAGATATCCGTGGGCGCAAGCACAAGTTTTCCGGTTATTCCCCAAGTAAAAACAAAGTTGCTGGCATCCTCCGTTTGCTCTGCTGCAAGCGTTCGTACCTGGGTAAGTCAAACAAATCAGAGATCAGACTCCCTACAAAGTAGGATGTCAAACTCAGTTCCTAGAAGGTCACTGTCCTGCAGAGCTTAGCTCCAATCTCAATTTAACATATGTGAAACAACTAATCAAGGGCTTCAGGATTACTAGAAACCTTCAGGCAGGTGTTTTGGAACTTTGCAGGACATTGGCCCTTTGACACATGTGGTCTAAACAAATGATATCACCTGATAATGGCTTTGAGACAATAGTTTCAGCATGCAAACAAAATTCAAGTGTAATTTGAAAGGGTCCAATGTTTGGGTGAACTATTCCCTTCCTGTAAAGCTAAAAAAACAAGAACTTTCTCAGACATTTACTGCTATGACAACAAGTCTAATTGATCTCTTTTTTCATATGGTGTCCATCACCAGGTGTTCGTTATCAGCAGGAGTATCCAATCCTGCCACTGAAGGGCACCTTTTCTTTTAAGTTTAGCTCTAGTGCTCATTAATCACCTCTGAGCCAGCTAATCAAGGTCTTCAGGGTTACTAGAAACTTCCAGGTATGTGTGTTGGAGCAGGTTGGCGGTAATTCTGCGAAAAGGTGTTCTTCCAGAAGCAGGATTGGACACCCCTGCTTTATCTGGGATAAACTTGTACTTGAGTGCATTGGTGCAATGTTCAAAGAACAGGAAAACTGCCATAAAGTGAAACCTCAACCTTTCTCCCGATCCTGGTTAAAGACCTTCACATCTTTCAGACTGACGCCCAAGCCGCTCCTGATGGTCACTACGTCCACGGCATCCTTCTTGGAAGCACGGCGGATGGATCCATTGGCGTAGGCTCTACCGTTATGGGGGTACAAAACCGTAAGTTTGACACTTGCTAATCAATGGCCCTCGACTAATTAAAACCAAATAACTCATTAAAATACAGTACACAGCTGGTCTAACAGAAGGTGAGGTAACCCATCCTTGGAATGACATTGAACCACGGGAGATTCTGAAATAATCTAAAGTGTCTTCTTGCACTAGGCATTGCGACCTTGTATGGAAAATGGGACGATATCTGCTTTCTTGGGCCATTCATTGAGACTGTAACATTTATGGAAAATAAATTACCTGTCAGACCAGAAGAGGTAAGCCCCAAAGACTGCTATGGAAAACATATCCACCCCACTCGATGAGAACACAATCTCCCTCTGCTCACCCCGCTCAAGGTTGATTCTTTCAATCTTGTTGTTGCGGGCGTCGCACCAGTATAATTTATTTTCCTACAATGCAGTTGGAAGACAAACATCATGCATCTGTTGTATTAAGAATGAATGGATATATGATCTGGCTGCCCTAAAGCTGCAAGATAAGCCATGAAATCAACATGGACTGCAACCTGCAGAATAAGCATGTAGGGGAAGCAGACCTGGTAGTCTATGGAGATGCCGTTGGGCCTTGCTAGTCCGGTGCTAACAAGCACGGATTGCGCTGAACCATCGAGATGTGACCTGGAGATGGTAGGACTCTGGCCCCACTCTGTCCAGAAGAGAAACCTGCATGAATTCAAAGGAGAGTATGGTTAAGTAGTCAACCTGAGGAATTTTAACCTTCAATTACAGTGAAAACAAGTACATTTCTAACAGGGTTACAGTTTGTTTGGGCTAATGCGGTGTTCAGGTCCTCATGGGAAAATTCTAATTAGGGTGTGTTTTTCCTGTCCTCTACCATTCACAGTCTATTTCTAAATGGAATCGGATAGTACACTGTCAAAAAAAAAAAAAAAAAGGTTACAACAACCTGTAAGGGTACAACAACTGGTCCCTGGGGCAGTACACCTTGAAGACACAACTTTGTAACTTATCTTCCCCTAAAAGGTGAATATTAGAACCTTAGAGTAGTAATATGTACCAATAAGGTACTATTATGAACCGTTTAAGGGTAAACGGTGTTGGGGAATAACTAGTTACATGTAACAGTGTTGCATAATTTAATTACAAAATAAATGTAAATGTAATCTGTTACAGTTACTGAGAATTTTTTTTTTTTAATTAAGTTACAGTTATTTATGAAAATGTTAACGATTACAAAGGTCTGACAGTATTCAGTGTTGAGTACTATTGTAAGGTTAACCCTGCCTGGTTTAAATGTTTGTTGCATTACTTAATACAATAATTAAAATAGTTACACTACTTATTATATTTTAAATAGGGCAATTTGTAATCTGTAACCTATTGCATTTCCAAAGTAACCTTCCTAACTCTGAGGGTAAATAAGGTACAAAGACGCCCCTTTAAGAGTACTGTCCCAGTGACAACTTGTTGTACCTTTAAAGGTTCAGTTTTTGCATAGTCAAGTGTAAATGATACAAAATGTAGAGCAGGATTTTAATTCCATCAGGGACTGAATGGATCATTAACAATGGTCTCTCGCATTTGCAGGGTTGATGTTAAAAATTGAGTCTTTTGGTGACGCCAGTGAAAAACATAACAGCTTCATGTTTATATTCCACTTTTACAGTACAAAGCTGTAGATAATGAGAACTCATTACAAACATGAGGTCAAGATTATGATGGCCCTCTCAAATTAGAATACATGCAATGGAAATTATAAGGCCTTTAAGGAGAACATACATCTGCAGTTAACAAGCTTTGAGGTGCTAATTGCACATGCTAACTGCTCTCTAGATGATCATAGGTTAATCATTTAAACGCAGTTGCCACACTTGGGTGAAACTGAAGCTTAGCATTAGAAGAAAAAAATAAACCAGAGGGTATTTTTAGCGTGGAAAAATAAAAAGGCAGATACATACCCTTTCATTGGATGCACAGCAATGGCTCTGGGTTGATCAAGACCGTCAGATAGCACCACGGCGCGGAACATGCCATTCAATCGAGCGACCTCAATGAGATTTAAGCCATGGTCCGTCCAGTAAATATTACCTTTGGATGCAAAGCAACAAAGACCCTGAACCTACAGAGAAACAATAAGCCTGACAACATCATTTTGGAAACGCATAGGAATGCTAAAAGAAGAGAAACCTTCAGACCTGCAATCCAGTCCACTGCAAGTCCTTCAACACGTCCAAGACCACTTGTGACAATGTCCTCTCTCCAGGTCTGATCTCGACTGGATCTAGAGATTCTGTTGGAGCCCATGTCCGTCCAGTACAATGTATCATTTCCTAAGATATGCAATTAGAAAATAACCCATAATTATAAAGTGTGCCTAGACTAGTTAGCACCTGCTGTTAAATTGCATAACTACCTTATTATAGGGGCAAAAAGTATCTTTAGTTAGGGTTGCACAAGATATCTGTACCATATCAGTCATCGTCTGTTACATTTTAGTTTATTAATATATCAATTGATATTGTACACTTAATTGTGCATACTAATTTCCCACATTTTTGATTACTGTTGCTGTCAACTCACCAATAAAATTTTAAATATTTAAATTAATTGTATTGCAGTGTCATTTATAGTAACACTGAGATATGTTTTTTTTTTATAAGTATATAGTATTTCGATATTGTATTAATAGTTTATGAATTTCAGTTTTATTTTTATTTTAGTTTTTAATCACGTTATATCATGTGACTGTTATTTTAGTATCATTGAGATACTTTAACGTTTTTTATATTTTGAATTAGATTTCATTTGTATATTATCGGTTTCATATTTATTTTAGTTAAAGTGTTTGTACTTTTGCGTTTTTTAGTCTTTTTATTAGTTTTTTTGTTGTTGTTTTGTACATAGGTTTTATTCATTTTTATTTCAGTTTTAGTTATTTCGGTACATCAAGTTAAATGAAAAAGAGAAATTATTTTATTTCAAGCAACATTTGTTTTTTATATACTTCTTTTTTATGGTTTAGTTAATTTTAACAGCCCTGCTGAATAAAATTGCTTTGGCAATTTACTGAAATGAAATTAGTTTAAGATTTCTATATTTTATTTCATTTCACTGAACTTTTTTTAAGTAAAACATTTTCATGTTTTAATTAACTATAGTAACACTGATGTATTTCAATTAAAAAAAGCGAGCAGCAATTATTTCTTAAAATAAAATGCTCTTAAAAGCATGAAATGATTTTTATTTTTTCCTTTTTTACCTTCTACATCACAGCAGCTAAGAACTGTATGCATTCTTGTGCTGATGGCCAATTTTGAATGGCCTTGGTTATTCAAAATTGGCCATGAAGAGCTTTACCTACAAAAATGAGTCTGTTTCTGCTGGCCAAAATGTCTTTGCCCCTTTGCTCTCATTCAAACCTGCCTTTTCTCCAAAACAATAGAGGCTAAAAAGGCCCAAAGTACTCGTGATTGTCCTGGCTCCCATGGTCAGTCCCTTTCAAAACGCTTTTCACAAAAATGCGGTACGGCATTATCCATAGCGTCATGCATCACCAGCTCCTCGCCTACTCAAAAATGTATATTATATCCCTTTTGACAAAAACTCCAATGAAGCCCCTTCACATCGTTATGAGGCATCGGCTCATCTGTCCAGCTAATCTGTTTCGATTATCTTCCATCTGTCAGAACCGCATTTCGCATCCCTTCACCTCATCTCGCAATGAAAAAAATATATATAGACATGCAATGCAATGCCAATATTTGCTTTATCATGCAAATGCAGAGCTGCGAAATGTCTGTCGCTGATGCAAAGAGTGGCATTTCTGTCTCAGTGCGGAGACAGCTGTCCAATTACTGCACTATATGAATCTGTGCCAAACACTGGCAGATACCCTGCAAATCAATGTTTTCCTCATGTCAAGGGGTGATATGTTGTTGTACACATGGCATGGCGATGCCTAATTGCTTTGGTTTCTAAATACACAACTAATCCAAAGAACAATAACAGCTAATTTCAGAAGAATCAAAAATGTCTACCTAATTGTAGTCAGTAGAACAAAATATGTTTTCCCCACATTTTTACACTGTTTTTATATAATACTTTTAACACACTAATCTTGAAGGCAAATTTTAACCATTATAGCTGTGATGTTACATCCAAACTACCATAATTTATGAACTTTGGCCACTACCTTTTCAATACGACTGTCCTCTTTATGCCATTATTCTCTTTATTGTTTGTTTATTGGTTTTTTTTTGTTTTGTTTTTAATTATGACAACATAGACTTCATTTGTTAAACTAGCATTACTGAATTATTTTCAATTATTTCAATAAAGCTGAATAAAATAAAATATAAAAATTAGACAAAAAAACCCAACAATTAAAAATGCTGCCCTAGTTTTAATGACTAAAACTAAAAGAAAAACAAATATGAATAACAGTATATAAATAATACTGAACTAACACATGTATATTACAGTAAAAAAGTATTAACATACACTTTCCTTAATGATTTAATAATTCATGTAATTGAAATAAAGCTGGAGTAAAATAAAATATCATTATTAGACGAAAAACATAAATAGGAAATGCTGCCTTGGTAACTAATTGAATTAAATATGTCTAAACTGAAGTAACAAAAAGTACAATATCTAAAACCGAAATATTACAAATAAATGTTAAAAACAAAAATAAATAAATAAATAAATAGACAATCGCACATAAAATTACTACAAAAAACGTAAAGTGAAATTAAAACGGCAAACAAAAATAAAAGTTATTTCAGAAAACGGATAAACATTATAGTAGTGTATAAATAATATTAAAATAATGTATGTCAGTAAAAATATTAAATGCAGTTTCCTTTGTGATTTAAAAAATGCATGTAAATGAAGAAAAGTTCAAATAAAATATAAATATTAGCTGAAAAATGAAAATAAGAAACGTTGCCTTGGCAGCTAACTAAAACAGTAATAAAATTACTAAAACTAAAACTGAAATACATTTTCATTTAATAACATTAATAATATTAATTAATAATATAAAATAATAAATAAGAATAATTTGTTTATAATATTTATTTTTCTTCTAATCAAAGAAAAAGTGTACTTACCGGCATGATAGTCCAGTCCCACGGCGAACAGAGTGCCAGTTAGCGGCATCAAAACTTCAGAGTTATCGCTGGGATCCAGAGACAGTCCTCTTATACCTTCATTAACGGAGTACATCAGGAAAGACTGAAGACCTAGCAAAGAAAAAACCAAACCAACCCCTTTCCAGGTCAATGTGCTTTTGAAAAATAATGAATACCTCCGATATCGGAAAGGTTAATTACGTCCGTATGCAGAGGTCACAACTAACGGTCGTACCTTCACAGGTGGAGCGGTCCGGACGAAGGTTGTAGCCCGTAGTACAAGAACACGTCCGGGTTGTTTCAGAAGTGGGAAGGCAAATCTGGGAACAACCGCCGTTGTTCGGTATACAAGGATTGCGACCTATGAAGAAAACTTGAGGATTTGTGAATGCGAACAGGTGTATCTAATGGTAATCTGTCAAACTAGTTTGGTGACTAGCTTGTGTACATTCTTAAACCAATTTCAAGAACATCACAAACACAAAACGAAGTGGAGGGGGGAAAAAAACGGTGGCGCTTTGACTTTGTTCCTTGGACACCTTGTCAGAAACACCCGTTAGCTCGTTTGAAGTGGTGTAATGAGACGGGCCTTCGCTCCCGTGAGGTCCGTGTCAGAGAGATAAATGAGGGAGCTAATTGGTATGAGGAGATTTGAGAAGGTAGCAAAAAGATTTACCTTCAAGAGCCCCTAATTGCCAGGTTTTTTAAAAATCCTAATAGAGCGTTTAGAGGATCAAGAACTCCTCTGCTAATAGACCTGTCAGTGATATGAATGTCTCTCGCCATAATTCATAAAGAGGAAAGGGTTTTGACAATGTGTGGCCGTAGAAACATATCCGTTATGAAACAGAACCGCTGTCCAAGTCATACGCAACCTCACCTTGAAGAAATGACAAGGATTTTATTATTTGGGGGCATTAATGAAAATATGAGTTTGAAATTAGTCTGAAAATTAAAGTAACAAATTAAATTTTTAAATTAAAACTGTTAAAAAAATTTGTATTACTATTATTAATAAATAAAACAAAATATAAATATTAAACGAAGAAACAAAATTATAAATGTTGTCTTCACAACTAAAATTAAATAAATGTTAAATAATAATAATAATAAGTTAAATATTGTAATAAAACCGTGTCAGAGTGAACATGGTCATGGGAAGTCTAGAAATAGCAGGGTCAAAAAGTCATTAAAATATATTTCAAAAATACTATTTCAAACATAAAAATATTTTCAAACATAAAAATTAAAATAAAAAATAAATACTATTAAAATACTACCAAGTTAAAATACTTGAAATATACTTAAAATACTTGAAAAAAATTAAATTAAATAAAAATTAAAATACATTATCAAGTCATGAATGGCTAGAAACTTTTTTTCAAAAGTCAATAAAGGGAATTAAATGATAAAAAGGTGTGGAAACCCTTGACATTGTCTTGTGTATATTTAATTTGATTTTAAAATACTTAAGATTAACATAACCAATAGTATGGTGGTTAATCAAATCAATTGAAGGCAAAATTACACTTTTTAAAACACATTTAAACCGTTTTTTTTTTTGACAATATAAAAAATACAATTAATAAAATTATATGCTGTTATATTTCTAATGTATTATTTAATATTATTTATTATAATATTAAATTATAATTAAGTCCTTAAATATTAATATTTAACTGCCAGAAATGGCTTTTTGTGAGTGTTAAATGAAAACAACTATTTGAAAAAGAAAAATACAAATAAAAAAACTTTCACTCTGTTCAAGGAAGTCAATGAAGGTTACACATTGATCAAAAGGTGTGTGAACTCTTAATTTTCGCTTGTGAGTGAACAAATGTAAACATGTTTTGCTTTCAAAAGAAAAAAAAAACACATTTGATGTTTATCACTCTTTAGAAGCTGTTGTATCTGGGTTTTATTTTAGACAAAACATTCAGGAATATGTTTCTTTTTACCTTTCTGACTGTCTTTGTCATACACTTTGATGTGGACAATGCCTGTGGTCTTATTCCGAAGAACCGTCAGGTTTTTTCCATCCCTCTTGTTAATGGTTCCCAGCTGAGCGAGAACATCATCTGCCCACCACAACTTCCCACCTAGAGAGAAAAATAATGTGTCTGAACAGCTGAAAAACACTGAAATCTCTATTTTAAATGCAAATTTGACAAGTAACATTTACATGAACTTTTCTTTTTTTCAACATCAAGATTTCTGGTTAAAATTCAAAGGAAAATGAAAGAAATGAAATGTCACCATTTCACTATAACAGACATTTCTGAATAACCCTTTTGCCTTTATCTTAAAAAGTTATGTGCATAAATTATTTAACATTACTTTCAATATTAAACCATTAATAAATAAATGTTATTATTAATTAAATATTCATAACTAATAATTATAAGTAAAATATAAGTAGTATTAGTATTAATCGTAATAAATAAATTTAGCTATAGCTGCATGGACTGTAGTACTTCTGGGCACTTATTATATTACTTTACTGTACACACTTGTCCTCTCTGAAATTGAACCAGGGCGAAATGTGTCTTTATCCGTGCTGTATTTCTTTGCTGTGGACAGCACCCTGCAAATCCGCTAAGCCCTATGGCGTGTCAACTCAGTCTTTAAGAAATGGTACAACACCGAGAAAACCAACCAGGACTCACACATCGTCTGTGATTACACATAAAAAGGCATGCAAGTGTACCGCAGTCTCCCAATATCCTTTTCCCCGGTGACCCGAACAGCTCACGACGAGCTACACATTCCTTTGCTCGTATTACTTGCGAGTCATGTCTTAGATTGAAGGAGGAGACGTCCCTCGGCGCGAAACCACGCCACCATACCCCTGTTCTACCCAACCTCTCAGCACTTATGAATCCCATAGGTGTGAGCAGCGGCATCTTAGTCCTCTGGCAGCCCTGAATGGATTACATACAGATGCCAAAAAGCAAGCAGGACTATTCTTAGTGCTCGGCCTGAGCTGAAGCTATCAGCCGTTGGCAGACACAAACGCAGGGGAAATGAATTACGGCGAACATTGTTGTTGTATATTTCACGTAGGGCACAGCAGAGGATCATTTAGATGCTTCATGGTGGAGAAAGTTCCTGAATGGAGTAAGGGTACAGATTTAATTTGATGCAAATGAAAATTTTGCTAGAAATGTGTCAACTGGTAGAGATTTTCATACACGTTTTCATTTTATTCGGAATATATTTGGGGTTACATATATTGGATTGGCATGTAACAAATGTTAACAGATAAAATGCAGTGTAATTGAACAAATTAAACTAAGAATGTACATTTTTAATGACTTGTACAGCTACAGAGAAAAAAGTAATCATTTATCGCCCAAAATTACGATTATAAGTGCAAATTTGCAGAACACCGTAAAAGAGAAAGAACTTAACATAAACCTCAATAAACCAGTCTATTTTGATTAAGTCTATGGTACCATTATGTCGAAATCAAAAATATGCCCTAGCTACATGTAAAAATTAGCTAAAAACATTATATATTGGGTGCACTTACTTTTTACATGGGAGACAATTGAGTTTCTGTAGATATCCTAAAGCATTTCAAAGTCCAGTTTTCATTGTTAATTGTTAAATTGCATAACGTTCGGCCTATCAATGCTTTCAAAATAGTCAATCAGAGGAGCACATACAAAATAAATAAATATCTTTTAATAGGGTGTGCTTAATTTTGACAGAAGACAACTGAAGATTTTAAAGTACAGTTTTCACGGTTAAATTATATGAAGTTCAGCCATAAATATAATATAATCCATAAAATATTTGTCCAAATAAAGTTCTAGTTTCAATAAGTACATGTGCGTTAAAAAGCACTTTCGATGGGATGCACTTACTTTTTCACAGCACTATAAGGGCTCGTTTGATATGGAAATATTTTTTTTCAGTGGATTTCAGTGAAAACCAATAATGGAGTCTAATGGAGTCTGAAGTCTTTGTCCGATTAATTTTTTGGTTGAAAATTTAGTAAATTTCATTGTACATTAAAGTCATTGAACAAACTATACTTCTAACCTTCATAGCCTCGTTTTGTATTCATCACAGTAAATATTTCCCAAACAAAGGCCATGTAAATGTATATTATTCTAAATTGGGTGTACTTACTTATTCACAGCACTACACTGACTATTAAGGCTTATTTGATATATAAATAATTTTTCATTTAATTTCCAGCCATTTGTATTCCATTATAATGATATAAAACCATGTCTTCCAGAGTCTGAAGTCTTTTGTCTACTGAAACATTTTTTTTTTGTATACACATATTTTCAACTTGGTTGACTTGCATTGTACATAAATGTAATTGAACAAACTACACTTCTATCTCTCATAGCTTAATTTTTATTCATCAGATTAATTATTTCCCAAATAAGGGTCATAAGTTCTTCAAGTGTAAGAATGAGCAAACTATGTCATTTAAAGACAACAATGACAAAGAAAATGCAAACGAAAAAAAGAAGCCATTAATAATTCATTATCTCTTTACTTGTTTCCTCACTCCCGGGACGGCTGGTAAAAAAATGGGGTTAATTAGAAATAAACGAGTAATTGGCCATGAGATGAGAACCAAGAATGTGTCAGACAAAGTTCAGTTGCTTCATCCAAAAGAATGGAGAAATTAAGAAATAAAGTGAGAGGCCGAAAAATGATGTGTCTTCAAATGAAAGCCGGTGTATTTTTGTTATGAATTTCTGTGCTGTATGATTCAAACACAAATTCCTTTGTTTCCATCTGTTTGATACAATCATTTGTAGGTGCCTTTTAATATATGTCTGTATATAAAATATTAGGGTGTTATATACAGTAGCATGGCTCCACATAACACCCTGATAAATGAGAGGAGTAAACAGTGTTCGGTGTGGCTAAGCAGACAGAACTACGGTGGCCGAGAAGTGCAGAACAAATCACAATTCTGAAAACAAAATAAAAAATTACAAACGCAAATGCAAGTCAAAAAACAAAATAACAATTCAGAAAACACAACAACAATTCAGAAAACATTATAACAAGTCAGAAAACACAATGACAAATTCGAAAACAAAATAACAAGTCAGAAAACACAACGACAAATCTGAAAACAAATTAACAAGTCAGAAAACACAACGACAAATCAGACAAACCGGAAAAGGTAGGTATAGTTTGAGACAGCGCCATTGGTTTGGGATTACTCACCGCTGACTGGACGAGACATCTGTCAATCAACGTATACAGGAAAAACCAGCCGAAGAACAGCAGAGTTGTGGTAGAAATTTCGGAGATGGTATTAAAGTAGCTCAGTTTAAATGTATTGTATGAATTGCCCTTTGTAGCGTCTGGACCAATCAAACACACAATATATATTTTGTTAGCTAGATTTAACAAATCCTCTGTAACCCCCCTCAGTTAACAAGCCATATGAGGACCTATGGACCCTTCCTCCCGAAATGCGTTACACCCCAGGAAACCGAACAGGCCCCTGGTTCCATGGCAACCAACGCGGATATCACTGGGTTTATTGCCCAGAGGAATGTGAGCAGAGAGACTCTCACTGCATTTTCCATAGCAAGAGGCACAATGCATTATCTGCACTTCAGTATTGTAGTACATTATAAAACAGTATGCAATAATAACGTATTGAGTGTAAATTATAATTTAAATTTAAATTATTAAATGGATGCCACCTTATTGGTACAATAAAGCCCTCCTGACACCTACCCTAAACCTACCCAATACTTTATTTTCAACTTTTTGATTATTTCCTTAATTTTTATTGAAAATAAATGCCTTTATGATGTGATATGAGATTTGAAAAGGGAGGGAAAAAAAAGTTCGGCAAAAGGCGGGATCGAACCCGGGTCGATCGCGTCAAAAAGCCAAGTGCAAGCGCTTATCCATCTGCGCCACTGAAGCTGATGTTCTACAGCCACTTTTAACTAAATGTAAATATACACTCCGTATTTTTAATTTCACAGTGAGGGCAATTCATACAATACATTTAAACTGAGCTACTTTAATACCATCTCCGAACTTTCTACCACGACTCTGCTGTTCCTCGGCTGGTTCTTCCTGTATACGTTGATTGACAGATGTCTCGTCCAGTCAGCGGTGAGTAATCCCAAACCAATGGCGTTGTCTCAAACTATACCTAACTTTTCCGGTTTGTCTGGAATTTGTTATTTTGTTTTCAGAATTGTGATTTGTTCTGCACTTCTCGGCCACCGTACAATGAACAGACTTCAACCATCACTCCATTACCAGCTCACAGATGCTGATTTCTGGGATGGTGCTCAATCTGATTGTATTAGCGGTTGGCAACGTCGGTATCTGATTGTGAGAGGGTTTGAGAGGATGATATAGCAGGAGAAGTGAGAACAGGTTGTTCCTAGGGGTTTAATCGAATAATACATCCGCATTTGGCATGTTTGGCTGGGCAAATGATTTCTCTTATGCAGTCCTCAACATTCAAGATCTTTTACCTCAGGTTCATCGTTCAAAATATTACACAGCCTGTCTTACTGAGAAACTGGCGTGGGTGGAATACGCCAAATGAAATGAGTTATAATTTCTGTGGCTTTGAAATTATATTTCACAATATAGCTGTTTCAGGAAATGTAAAAAAAAATAATTCAGATATTAAATAACCATGCAGGGATGCTTATGGTTGGATACTGCAGTGAATCATACATTGTACTATTAAAATATACTCACAAACGTGTATTTGTATACATACATATCACATTTTATTACTTTCGGTTTTATGTGGAATGTCATAAAGAAAGTCTTTTCATAACAGCATAAAATGATTGATTTAAAAAAAGAAAATAAACTAATAAAAATGATCACATATATAATTAAAATCTATGTAAATATAAAAATTAAACCATACTGACAATTTATATAGAAACAATTTGTATATATACAAACAAAAATGCGTTGTTCATATTTATTGTAAATTAATTTCAACTGCATTTATATAATAGTTATATTTCAAGCCATTGTTAAAAAAAGCTAATAATCAACAGGATTTTGTATTAATTTGCAGTTATATTATATTAATGCAATTTTATATGAATATAAATAAAGGGGTTTTGGTAATTAAACCCTATTTTAAATATATAAAATTAATTATAAATTATAATTATTAGTAATTGTTTACAATAACTGTATGCAATATATAATATGCATATACTGTTTTAAAAAATAACAGTTCATTATTATTGTAAATAATTATTAATTGTGAAAATTAAATGTAAATTTTTTACATTTCTATCCATCTCTAGCTCTAAAATCTCTAATTCTGATCAGATGAGCAGTTGTAAAATCTCCAAATAATCGGTATTTATTTCTTTATATTTGTAATGTAAACACTCTAAATAAACATGTTTAAAACCTAATCTCTACTCATATGGGACCTGTCCTGGGGCCTCGTGTATAAAACTTTACGCAGATTTCATCCTAAATGTGTGCGTACGCACAAAAGCTAGATTTTGTGTACGTACAAAAGTTTTCAGATTTATAAAGCCATGCGTACACCAGAACCGGCGCAGAATTCCCTTTGTAATACCCAGTCAGCGGAAAATTGTGCGTACATGAATCTCCACCCAGTCTCCTCCCCGAAATAGCCATTTATGGAGCTTACAACGCCTAGATTTAATAAGCATAACGTCATCTGCATATTATTTCCATGCATATTCCATCCACGTGACACCATGTTTAACGCAGTTAAGGGTAGGAACACGTTAAGAAAATATGAGATACAGACTATAAATGCGTTTTGAGACATTACTATTCTAATTTATGCAATTTGCCTAAAAGGTAAACAAAATATTTTAGAATGTTTATAGCCTATATTGTTATGGAAAGAAAAAAAAGTTTTTTAAATAAAACGCACATATCTTACAGTTTCCTTCAAATTCTATCTTTTAAATATGGTGTTTGTCACAATATTGGGAAGAGCACGAAAGGAGTTATCATTAGGCTACTGTCTGTGCGCAACGCCTGTGAACAGAGGTTCTACTGTCATCAGACCAATGGACTGTTTGATCAATGAGCGCATACTTATGTATGTTGTTACGGTCTATGTTCCAAAGCCATAAGACAAAGTCAAGTTCACATCAATGATCATTATTATTCGCGCAAAAATATTTTCTCAGAACATCGATTTTTGCCATTTAGAACACAATTTAAAGCGGAATTGTCATGCGCCAAGCAATCCTCGCTGTGATTAAAACATTAAATCGCATACCACAGGAAAATTGTTCGAAAGCAGCACATCCACTGCAAATATTTCTGTTTAAATTCATATAAAAATGAATAGAAGTTAAAATTCTATTATTACGTGAGCAGAAACAGGCTGCAGAGTAAAGCGAAGATAACAAAACAAAACACAAACAAGAGCAAAACAAAACACTGAAAAAAACAGAGCAAAAATAAAAAACAGCAAAACAAAAAAAACAGTACTAAAACAGAACAAACAAAAGAAAAAATGAAACCAAAAACATAGCAAACAAAACGAGACAAAAAACTAAACAAAAAACAGCAAAGCTAAAAAAAAACAGAACAAAAACGAGCAAACAAATAAAAAAGAACAAAAACAGAACAAAACAATAAAGCAGAAAAACATTTAACTAAAAGCAGAGCAAACAAAACAAAACAAAAACAGCTAAATGAAACAAAACAAACAAGAGCAAAATTGAACAGAGCAAAATAAAAACTGCAAAAAAAACAAAGTAAACAAGACAAAAATCAGCAAAGCTAAAAAAAACTAAATTAAAAGCAGAGCAAACAAAACAGCAAAATGAAACAGAACAAAAAAACAGAGCAAACAAAAAACTAACTAAAAAACAAACCAATTAAACAAAAAAACAACAGAACAAAAAACTATTTTAAAAAAGCAAACAAAACAAAAACGATCAAACAACAACAAAATAGCAAAGCAAAAAAAACAAAAAAAACAGAACAGAACAAAACTAAAAACAGAGCAAACGAGGGGGATCAGCTAGCTTTGCAGCTGGCAGAGTAATAAGAGAAACTTAAAACTACTATATAAATATATATTTTAATAAATTTGACCACAGATTTATCAATCCAGAAATATTCCTATAACAACCCAAAATGTGATTTTCCAATATGTTGTCTCTTTTTATAGGTCCAATCAAATCAGGTCACTTAGGAATAAGCCACATTACAGAAGATAAATGAGTTGTGAACAACCATTTTACATTTACATTTGCTCATTTAGCAGACACTTTTATCCAGAGAAAATGAGGAACATCACAAGCAATTTAAAATGTTATGCCATCTTTATAGTCAATACGGTTTCCTCCATTTTGGCAAATCGCTCGGTTTTCCTCATTTGCTTTGCACAAAAGCACCTGCTAAATGAATAAATGTAAATGTCACAAAAAAACAAAAAAAAATCTTTAAGATTTGCACCGAAAATCAACCGAGTCAGAAGCCACATGTAAGATGACAGAGCAAATTCATATCTGTCTTTGGCCGATACTCAAACCCTGCAGAGCTGCAACAATCAGCAAACACAGCTGTGACATCAAAAGTTGTGAGTCATCAAAGTTCAAGAAAAAACCATTGTCAGAACATGAAAAGTGTTGCGATTCAAGCCCTTTGAAAACAACAATCTCCCTCAATTGATTTCTAATTGCAGTGTACCAAAACAGCTCCACAATTAAGCCTTAACAAAAACCCCGGGGCCCACATTCACCAAAACTGTTGCTTATCATTCATACGCCGCTGTTCACAAACCATTTATACTGTCTATCACCATACTAATTAAATAGCTCCATTATTTGCTTGGTTATAATTAACCTTACTAAATCAATGCTGATGAAAACAGCCTTCACTCACCCATCACTGCTAATGCCGTGGCTTTCCGGAGCTCTTTTTTCAAGCTGTCAATCACATCCAGGCCACTCCCATCCAGGTTGCACCTATTAATGGTTCCGTTTCCGGAACTTATCCAGTATAACTTGTTGGCCGAGTAGTCAATCGTCAGCCCTGGAAAGCACAAAGAAAATATGAAAACATGAAAGTAATGGCTCATAAAAAATACATATACATGCAAATACATATATATGTAAATATCTTGATAATATGAACATAATGTTGTTCTATTGGATTATTGGAATACAGAAAAAAAATATATATTATATATATATATATATATATATATATATATATATATATATCAGTTTCCAAATATAAGAATGATTTCTGAAGGATCATGTGACACTGAAGACTGGAGTAATGAAACAAAAAATTCAGCTTTGCATCATAGGAATTATATATATGTATATTATAATATTTTACAATAGTAAACATTTATTTTAAATTGTAATACAATTTCAAAATTGTATTATTTTAACAAATAAATACAGCCTTGGTGAGTATAAGAGACTTTTGGGTTTGGAAGACATGAGGGAGAGATAATGATAGCAATTACAATTTTTTGGGTGAAGTCTTCCTTTAACTAGATACTCGAGAGTAAACAGAATTATCCCAAACTTCATTATTTGATATTATCTTCTCACAAGAGATGTTTCTGTTAAACAGCAAATTTAAATAACAAAGAACTGAACATTGTTTCATCTTATGAATATTAACACATATCGTCACTAACAAATCGTGTCTGGTTATTTGAAATCTGCAATTTCCCCTACAGCAAAGCATGTTTATTTGCTGCACAGCATAAATAGTGTTCAAAAAGAGTTCAAAAGGTTGATTTCTCTTTTTATTTCCTTCATCTGCAATAATCCCTTGTTCACATCATAATGATAACCGCTGTTACTTAAGATTTGGCTCAGGCCATAATCACATGTACTGCGTGTCAGGGAGATTTTGCTTTAATTATGAGTTGAGGGGAGAACCACGAACATCTCGGAGAGCTCTAACAATACCCAGGGCTACTACTCAGACCAAATTACGATAGATATAATGATTTCAACAGACATGGCCTAGAGGAAGAGGAGGAATGAGTAAATGGTGCCCTTATTCTCACATGCAGTTACAGTAAGTACATGTACATGAGGCCGTGTGATCTTGCAAATGTTAAATAGATTGTTTGAAACAGCAGATTTATTAAATGGTTAAAAACTAAAGTAAAAGCAAAAAAGCGAAACAAACATTAAAGCAAAGAAAACAGTGTTGCTAACATCTTACTCTATGCTGTTTGCAAATGAAAAAGCAAAAAAAGGAGTGCAAAAATAGTTTAATTAAAAAAGAAAAACACAAAATAGACAAAGGCAAACCAAAGAAAACAAAACAAAGCCAAGCCAAGCAAAAAGCAAAACAAAACAAAACCAAAAGCAACAAAACAGACTAAACCAAAGCAAAAGCTAAGTTAAACAGATGAAAGCAACACAAAACAAAGCAAGAACTAAACAAACAAAAGCAACACGAAACAGACAAAACCAAAGCACAAGCAAAGAAAAGCAAATCAAAGCAAAACAGATCACTACAGAAAGACTAAAGCAAAATGAAGCACAGAAAAGCAAAACAGATTAAAGCAAAGCAAAGCAAAAGCAACACAAAACAGACTAAAGCAAAGATGAAAGCAACACAAAACAAAGAGAAGCAATGCAAAACAGACAAATGCAAAGCAAAGACAAGCTAAAATAAAAAAGCAATGCAAAAGCAGTGCAAAACAGACTAAAGCAAAGCAAAATGAAGCAAAGAAAAGCAAACAAAACAGAAAAAAAGCAAAGCAAAACAAAAACAAAAAGCAATGCAAAACAGACAAAAGCAAAGCAACAACAAGCTAAATTAAACAAAAAAAAACACTGCAAAAAGCTATGCAAACAGACTAAAGCAAAGCAAAGCAAAACAGATGAAAGCAAAGTCAAACAAGACAAAACAAAGGCAAAGCAAATAAAAGTTACATGAAATAACATTTAAGTAAACATGTCAGATTCATGTAGAAAAGAAAAGAAAAACTAAACTAAAATTAATTTACCTAAAAAAAAAACTAATTCAAAATGTATCTCAATAATACCAAACTAACACCATTTTGGATGAATGTTTTCACTGTATCATAATGCATTCTGGGACTGCCTTGTCCACAGATTACACATGCCTTAGATTTTGACCAAAATAAAGTTTTACAGAAAGAAGCCATAAGCATTCTGCCCTAAAACACAGTGTACTCTAAGTACACATCTCACTACTGCAGGTTTTGGAACTTCAATTTACCAACAGGCTCATTCTGGTTCTGGTGCAAAATCTTGATGTTGCTGCCATCCATATTGGCCATATTTATAGTGCCTCCATCCATCCAGAACATCTTCCTGTAGACCACAACAAAACAAGAATTATTCAGAGAGATGGATGAGTTTTGGAGATGAAGAATGGGACTCTTCTGTTTAAGGATCGCGACCCGCGTGAAGGTCGGGAAGGTAGAAAAGAACTTTATCTTCACAATCACCACAGAGCACAAAACAATCGAATAAAGCTGTCTCTATCTCCCTCATACATCTTGATGGCGCGCATGAACCTATGTGACAGATGACTTTCAGAAATGTCGACGAGGTTGGAAGCTAAAACGAGAAGACAGCTGGCAAAAAAAAAACAACAACACGAGGGGCAAAGATCATAAGAGATATCGGCAACAACATGCGCACTGTACCGTGCTTAAGATCCATCACTGGATTACAGAATCGCGTTATATTAAATCTCGTGTAAACAATTGCGAGGAACTGGCTTCGTTTTTAATTAGCTTGCATGCTTGGAATCATAATGTATGCTAATTAAAGAGCTGTCATTGACCAGCCCAACAAGGGTAAGATAAATTCACATTTCTGATTGGCTGACAACTAGTTTGGCATCGTTAAAGAGTTTTCACGGCTACAACGATTTGTCAGTCTTAATCAACTCTAAGAAAACGACTCTAATAACTTTAGTTAATTGTGCACGCTGAATACAAACAGAGACCTGTTCAGTAATTAGCTCTGTAACGGATGTTTCTCACACGCAGCTTTGACGGTAACAAAAGGTGACAATTCGACGGAAGTGTGCAATTACTTACTAATAAATAGGATAGCGATCTTTAGCGACACGCAGCCCGCAACTTCTCCAATATGGATATGGCTAATTGTTAGTGTGGTTTTTGCTTTTTACCCTTTAGATGGATGCAGGACGAGACACTTGGGTTTGTCCATGCCGTGAACGACGGTGGTTTTGAGAGATCCATCAAGACGGGCGACGTTAATGTGGGACTCATCGTTGTCTGAGCTCATCCAGTACATGTTTCTCGACAGCCAGTCAATAGCCAGGCCACGGACATTAGATAGGTCTGTAAATACAGATATTATCAACACATAATCAGCATTTTTCATCTTTTTATCACATAAAACAAAGTACACATATAGCGAAATGTGTGTGTGTGTGTGTGTGTGTGTATAATATAATAATTTTATGCATATCACCTTTCGCAATTTGTTTTAGCAAAATAAAACGAATAGAATAGAATAGAAATTTCCATTTTCACTTCATAAAATGTGTTAAAACAAGACAGACAAAAAAGAAAATACAATGAAATAAAAAAGGAATAGGAAAAAATTATATAAAATATTAAAATAATAATAATAAATAATAATATAATATAACATAATCTGCATATTTAGAGAAGCTAATAAAGCAAGCTCTTTATTAAATTAATTTAATTTAATATATTTCAATATAACAATTTTTATATTTTATATTTTTGTACAGCATATTTCATATTTTTTATTACAATAAAAAAGCAAAAAATTAAATAAAATGAAAAGGAAATTATATAATTTAATACAATATAATACCATATCATATCTTATTTGTAATATATTTGAGAAAAAACTATATAATATAATATAATATAATATAATATAATATAATATAATATAATATAATATAATATAATATAATATAATATAATATTTAGTAATGCTAATAAAACAAGCTATGATTTAATATAATTCAGTATAACAATATTTATATTTTTTATGTACAGCACCTTTCATAATGTTTTATCAAAAAAAATATCAATCAATCAATCAATCAATAAATACAATATCACATCATATTTGTAATTTATATATTTATATAATTTATCATTTAAAAACAGGCAAAGAAAAATACAAGAGGAAAAAATAACAACATAATGTAATATAATGCACTATAATATAATAAAATCAATTAATTATCTGCATATATTATTCATGCTAATAAACAAGCTGCTGATTGTGAATATCACTGCAACCCAAACGACAACAAAAATGAAAAATAAGGTATAATTTAATAAAAGGTTTTCTTTGTAAAGACACATTTGACTCTTCTATCAATGAAAGTGTGTAAACTGTGTGAGATTATAACTGTCAAAATGGAACTCGACGTACCTCCAGACAGGACGGTTTCGAGTTTGGTTCCGTTAATGAACGCCCATTTTATCGTTCGGGTCTTCACATCGGCCCAGTAAATCCTCTCGTCTACAGCATCGTAATCCATCGCCGAGACGTCATCGATATCGGGTACGGTGAGGGCCATGATGACGTTGAGGTACGGGTTGTCGATGTCCACTCCTCGAATCTCAGATCTTCGAGCGTATAACAGAAACTTCTTCACACCTGTTCACAGATACATAAATATATAATAACTCAAATTCATTCTCAATTGAATTCTATTTCTCTGTCTCTAGTATCTCTGCGAGTGAAAAATATGACCTAAATCAGTTAGCGGGACAAATATAATAAGGGGAATTGAGTGTCCTTACAAAGGCAGCGCTATAAAGACATAAAGCTCAAAGGACTCATACTGTAAATTCTCCTTTCTTGACCTTCTGAGAGATCTCTGGGGCAGCCGGTAAAGAGAGATCTCCATTTCAGTCTGTAATGAGTTTAGGTAGGTCGCGAAAGTCTCCTGATACACGCTATAATTATTCCAATATCAGACATTCTGCTTTATTATGAAGAAACCTATATTGTAAGTCGCAACTCATGCCTCAATGAAGCATCAGTGTACGTGTGTTCTGTGCATATTTATTACATATATATATATACACACACAGATACAGTATATAGGTTTCACACAGTTTCGGTGTGTGTGCCAAACACATCTCGTAAAAAGCAAGATCTTCAGTCCAGCAGACAGGCTGAGCTCACCTTGGCAGCTTCGGTTGTTGGCCGACAGTTTCATGAGATGTGGACAGGAGCAAGATGCAGAACCATTATAATTTATAAGGCAGAGGTGAGAACACGGGCCTCTTCCTTTGTTACCTGCACATGGGTTAGGAGCTGAAGAAGACAAGAGAAGAGAAAACTTTAATAAAAGAATATCTGAGCATACATTCTCCATACATCACAATATTTCATTCTCCTGATTAATCACCACAGCGATTTATTAGACAGCGATGTCTTTGATTATTATTTCCAGAGGTCAAAGCCACAGGTCAACGTTAAACATTTTTACATTTAATTTTCAAGTCTTTTATCATTTCGTCTGCTAGTTATTATGCGATGCGGCTTGGATCCATGCACGTAGTCTCCTGAAATCCAAAAGTACGGCCTAACAAGTGAAAGATGTGGACGGCGTGCTGAGTAATTAGGCCCCTTATTCCCTACCCAACATTCCCTGGGTTTGTTCTTGCTCAGAGCAAGGTTGTTACTCCACAGCTCTAAATGAGACCGTAAAACACACAAGTAACTAAAAAATGCATAACAAGTCCATAAAAAACTGTTGTTTCGGGCCTAATGAATACAGTAATCTCTATGTCACTCTTGCTAAGCTATTCTGACACGTGAAAACCGATAGTGATGCGGGCCAGACGCTTCAGACGCAGACGGGTAATGCAAACGGACATGGAGCAGACATCCAGAGCTATAAACAAAATCCCAAAAAAGAGGAAAGCAGGTGCTAAGCCACAGGACAAAAACAGCCAAGAGCAGACACAGAAAAAGGTCAGAAAATTTACTAGTAATGGTTCAGGCTAAAGCCCATTAATTTTACAAAAGTCATTTCATTTCAGAGTATTTGGAATGAAATAACTAGGCAATTAATTGCCTATTAATTTAAATTATTGCTTGGAAAAATGTAAATTCAAAAAAATACTTGAATGTACAGTGACATTTTTATGTAATTTGTAAAATAAATAATGAACCTACGAGTATAATAATAATAATAATAAAATAAAATAATAATAATGATAAACTTTCATTTTTAATTTTCCATATCAAAATGTTTTAAAAACATTTAAAAAAAAAAAAAAAAAAAAAAAAA